GGAAACTGTTTTAACAACTAAAAAGCAATATTTATAATATGCTGATAAATATACTGTAATATAGATGCATTACATAGTAAAAAAAATGTAGCTTGAGAGTTTCCCAAAGCAAACTGAGGGAATGTATTTACCATTATGACTGTCATTACCATTGTTCTTTGAAATAGACATCATGGCTGAGGGTAATATACTGTAAGATCATGTTTATATCCAGAAGAAATAGTATTTGTCATTGTGAATCATTTCTAAGTACCATAGACAATAAACGCTGATCTTCAACCTCTTTTTCGGCACTGCTTGGTAGGTTTCCATTTTATTACTTTACATTTTTTTAAATTAGAAAAGACAATGTCTATATTTTAATGCCTTGAATGATTTTAGGCAGATCACCAGGTTGAAGGAAACTCTTTTTGTCAATCGAAATACTAGAGAGTAAATACTGATTTATACTTCTGCGTCAAGCGCACGTATACCTCTCAAAAAAATTTAACCACACGTCGAAACGACACGTAGCACAAGCTCTGTGATTGGTCGGCTTGATAGCTCTGACAAGTGTGGACGGGACAGAAAGCCGTGTCGAGTCCCATGAAGGAGCTCTAGATAAAAGGTTTTGTTTTGTTCACCTTATGGTTAAAGTTGTTGCACGTCTGCCGGTTCCTGCCTCAAAATGAGTGAGCCACTTGTACATTGAGGAAACATTCAGAAAAATCAAAACATCAGCGAAGAAACTCGACACAGAGGAACATAAACACTTACTGCCAGCTAGCGTTTCAGAAGTGTTATCGCAGAGGAACAGAAACAACGCACAGAAGTATAAATGCACAGCAGCGCGCAAGACATGCACCATTAGTCACGCCAATCTCTCGACGCAGAAGTATAAACCTGGCTTAAAGTTGACAGAACAAAGACTGCAAATTAGTTTATTTACTGTGCTTTACAATTAGACAATTTTCAATCATTCATTTTCCTTCAACTTAGTGTCTTTATTCATCAGAGGTCGCCACAGCAGAATGAACCGCCAACTTATCCAGCACACGTTTTACACAGCGGATGCTCTTCCAGCCGCAACCCAGTACTGGGAAGCATCTATACACAATCATTCACACACATACACTCAGGCAAGTTTAGTTTATTCAATTCAACTATAGTGCATGTGTTTGGAAACCCATGTAAACACGGGGAGAACATGCAAACTCTACACAGAAATGTCAATTAACCCAGCTAGGACTCGAGCCAGCAACCTTCTTGCTGTAAGGGGACAGTGCTAACCACTAAGCTACCGTGTGGCCCCAGGGTAATTTTATCTCTAAAAAACATTTCAGACCAAAGTGCTGAACGAAAGCATGACATCCCACAAACTCACTGTTCCAACAAAACAAGAATTGCTCAAATGTGAACAGAACTACATTCTGGACCAACTGCAAATGGGAGAAAGAAGATTTTTAGACAAACTGAGGTATTGCAATAATCCAGCTTAGAAGTGGTAAAAGCGTTAATCATATTATTCTGTATCCAAAATAACCCCCGGGCGGCACGGTGGCGCAGTGGGTAGCACGGTCGCCTCACAGCAAGAAGGTCGCTGGATCGAGCCTCGGCTGGGTCAGTTGGCATTTCTGTGTAGAGTTTGCATGTTGGCATGGGTTTCCACCGGTGATGTAGATGAATTGGGTAGACTAAATTGTTCGTAGTGTATGTGTGTGAATGAGTGAGTATGGATGTTTCCCAGGGATGAGTTGCAGCTGGAAGGTCATCCACTGCATAAAACATGCTGGATAAGTTGGCAGTTCATTCTGCTGTGGCAACCCCAGATTAATAAGGGGACTAAGCCACAAAAAAATGAATGAATGAATGAAATAACCCCCTGTACCCTTAAGTAGTGCATAGGAAGCAGTAAATTGTAGTGGTGTCTGTCCGAATCCATAGTGGACCTTCTAAAGTGCACTCAATCCGTCCCACAACCCAGCAGGCACAGGACGATGCATTTTGGGTGGATATGAAAATCTGGTTGGTCAGATGTTGGATATGCCAGACGATGGATTTTGGTCACTTGCCAGTGCAACCTAAAAACAACCAAATATCAACAGCGTCTAATGATGTTGTGTGGATGTTACTACTATGACGTCTATGAGATGTTGGAATTTAGTTGAATACATGTCAGTATTTGACATCAATGTGAAGTTGGTTTATGTTGACTCGACATTGGATTTTGGTCACTTCCTGACACAGCATTGAATTTTGGTCACCAGACATCCGACCTAAATCTAACCCAATATTACCGTCTTATGCCATTGTGTGACTGGGAATGCACTGGAATAATGTCGAAAGCAGATGTGCTCTACCTTCCTGCATATTTCAGCTCTAACCCTGATCAAACACAACTAAAGCTGTGGTCACACTGGGCTTTTCTCTCCATAGACTTCCATTCATACACACGCGAACGCGTCAGACCAGAAACGCAAGTTCATGCGGCAAGTTTCGCTGTTCACTGCATTGGAAAGTTCAAGCTTCCTGAACTCAGACCTGCAAAATTTAGACAGAATTTTAAAACATGGACCAATCGCTCGCTTTTTTAATTGTCTAATCATTTGTTTAATTCTGCCCCTTTTCGCAGCGCCATATAATGGAATTTCGCACACACACACTCTAGTGTGACTGCGGCATTAGTCAGATCTGAAGAAGCACTTGCTAATTACAGACAGGTGTACAGACAGGTGTGTTTGATCAAGGTTGCAGCTGAAGTCTGCAGGAAGGTAGATCTCCAGGAACAGGATTAGGCACTCCTGGGCTGTTTCTCAATATGCGTCCTCGTGTTCTCGTACAACGTCATCATCAGCTGCCTAAGTTCAGTTTCAATACTCAAGACCGCAAGTACGGAGGACGCGTGAAACTTCCCGGATGTGATCTTGATATCGAGGACGCACCGATGCAGACTTGAGCACCGATCTCGCTCTGGAGGTCCCAGAAGTCATTGCGACTGGAGGTGGGAAGCGCAGCATTTAATTTAGATTTATTATTAAAGTTCAGAGATATCACTTATTTACCTCAGGAGTTTCCCTAAATGAAACAGTAAAAGTAAACATTAACATGAATATCTTAATAAAGGAATAAACACATTAAGGGTGTTTGTTTGCTGAAATTCGTATTAAAATTAGGTATATTTATATTGTGCAGAGTATATTTATAATGTTTTTACGCAAAGTATATATTTTGAAGAGAAGGGAAAACAATAAATCGTTGTATGAGTGCTGTAATTTTTAAATAATTTCCATTTAAAACGCGTGAAGGTCATGTGACCATCAGGAAGAACGCAGCATCCCATTTCTCAAAGGACGCATTCTCTGCCCTCGTGATCTCCTGAGTTCGTTCTTCCAAGGACACCTGGCAAGACCGGTCTCCACAAGAACACAAGTCCATTCTCTGCATTCTTGGAATTGAGAAACAGCCCTGGTCTAGAGAAAAACCATAATGAATTTCCACATCTGACCACATGATGCTGTCCACAGCAGATTCCGATTGGTGTAGGTTTCTAAATAAACTATAATTTATTTGTTCAATTAAAGTTTGAATACATTACAGAAATCAAAGTACTTTGATTCATTACTAATCTGCCTTATTCAACCCGCGGCCAATACAAATCAAAGACAAGGCTGCGAGGGTTAAAGGGGTCACACACCAGAAGCGCCGCATCACGTAGCGCCACTTAGCGACATGCATTTCAGAATTCTAAACATTGGGCTCTTTCAGGATACACACACTGGCGCTGCAAGTCGGCGGCTGTCTGTGGCGCCCAGCCACAACTCAGAACACTGTTCATATTTCTGCCACACCACAGAGCGCCAACTGTATAGTTTCATGTTAAATATCATGCGAATGTGCGCATCTGTTGTGCGATACTTTTAACTGTCATGTGTGCACCGTATTGAAGCGCTAAGCGGCGCATCCGGTGTGTGACCTGCTTTAGTCCTGCAGAATTCACTACGGTGAATTCATAAGAACAGCTGAATATCGATCATTTGGCCATCAAAGTAAAGAGAATACATCATTTCCACAGGACATGGAACTTCAGAAAACATGGATTATTAAAATTAGACAGGACAGAGAACCTGTCAGCAATGTAAATTAAAAAGGAGTGAAGCACCAGTAACGACTCATATTAAAATTCATTTAAATACTAATTTGGCTATTGTTGTTATCCATGAATTTTCAAATGTACTTTTTTTTTACAAGAGAGGCTAGAAATTGTAAATCTCTACATTATGGTCAGGAAAAGTTGAATGTACTGGCCAGTTTGTTTATTATAATTTGCCTAATAAATGACAATAGGCTTGTTTTCATTTAAAATGAACTCATATATATTTTTTCTATTGATATATGATGTAACAAATCTGTATTTTAAAATTAAGTATTTTTTCATATTTCTTTATTTGAAATTTTAAGTAAATAATTTTGGTACATCAAAAAGTGGTTATGATGACCAACCAACAAGCTAATTTAGCTATAAATAGTGTTTAAAATTTATTTAAATCTCATAGTTAAATAGAAAATGATGCATATAATTGCAAAAAGGTTTACTTTTTGAGAAAAAAAGAACCCCCTCTTTCACTGGGCTGGCTACAGGCCTGCATACGAAATAATAAAAATGTAGAGATACTCAATTAAAAATAATTCATGAAATGAATGAACAATTGATGCACTGATGTTAAACATTAGATTCCCTAATAGGCCTAATGTTCACAGTGGACCCCACTGAATCTAAAAAAGATTGTAACCGACAAAATTTAATTTAAAATCATTTTACATGTTAAAAATGGTTATAGTTCATGTTTTAATAAAGTCTTTTGATAGTTAAAAATCCAATTTCCTCATTTAGCAGTAAAACTGACTCTTTGCAACACAATATTAGCCTAAATAAACATGTTTCCTAGTGAAACGTTGACGTTTATTGCATAGGATAACAAGTTTCTCCATTTGAGGCGCTCCTTCCCTCTGCTTTGGTGTTGAATTTTTTTAGTCCTTTATGAGAAAATGGTCGTGTTTTAAAAAACATATCAAGCACTTAGACTGCATTTTGGCCATCACACACGCGTTCTAAATCAACCGAGTGATCTAGGTAGCCAGCTCACTAGGTATTGAGACACCGCCCGTGTCTATGCATGGACGACTGTCTGGGCTAACAGGACCCGATTGAGATTATTAACCTTACGCAATCTAGCAGCACTATATGGGTAAGCAAACATATGAGTTGTTATTCCGTTTCTGTGTACCAATCAGTGGCGCAGTGGTCAGTTTAATATCCACCACTACAGATGAATCGGGAAGTGCTAGTTAGCCGTGCATGCTAACGGAATCCAATAGCAACCGGTTAGCTACGGCTAAACTAGTATGGCACAAAATAAACAAGCATGCATTGAACAGTGTCATTGCATCTTAAAATCTGTGTTGCACAAACCCAAATATATTTTGGATACAGAGGGGTTACAAACGTGTCATTAAAAAAGCCTGTTTGTGTGTGGTCTATAATATCTTTGTTAGGATCCGTTGTTCAGGGGTTGTATAATTCCGTTATGAATTTAATTCAATTAAATGTGTGCATTTGTAATTGATTTTTTATAAATTATTATTATTTTTACTAACGTTATACATAAGTCTTTCAGTTTGACTTTCTATGTTGAAACTAGTTGGTGATAAACGTAGGTAAAGTGGGCGTATTTTGTAGAAACTGCAGGTAAATATGAATACATTTTTGTTTTTAGGTGCCTTGTGTATTTTTATATGCACACTTTGTGATAAAAGGGGTCACCTTCATTATCTTTCATCAAAATAAAATTTTGCTTCCCTAACAACGTTTTGGCTGACGTTTTGGAAGTCCTCTTACTTTTTCAAGCACCTGTCATATCTTTATACAATTTCAGAAAGGAAAGGAAATTCTTCAAGGCCCAAGAAAAGATGGAGTTTTTTTTTTTTTTTTTTTGTGAAATTATAAATTTTAAGTTAAATGGCTTAGGGATTGTTTATTGAAATGAGATTCAATTTTTTATACTATATAATACTTTCAAAAAGGTTGGAGGATTGCGTTTTTACTATCATGTGATTACTCTTAATAAACTACCAGTAACATTGTCCAATTTTTATCAACAAGCTCTTAAAGCGTGGAAGTTGTGTTATATGCACAATTTCTCCCCCCACATAAAGCAATTTTTTTGAATAATTCTTGTATTACGGTTAACCGGAAATCTCTTTATCTGCAAAATTGGACAGATAACGATATGTTTTTCTTATCTGCTATTTTAGACCAGTGGTTCTCAAACTTTTTTCACCAAGTACCAGAAAAAAAAAGTAAAAGAAAAAAATGTTGCTCCAAGTACCACCATAATGACCTGTCAGCATTGGGATATAAAAATATGAGATACGCCCCCAACAACTATTACAAATATGGGGGAGAAATTAGCTTCACATGACAGAATACATAACAAACATTAAAAAATTGTAAATAAAATAAAAGGTTTAGCTTATTAAAATCAATTTACTAATCACATCAGTGTCATTTTACACATTAAAGGGTTAAAAGTGTATTTTTTATTTTAATTATATTAAGGTTTTTTTTTTTTTTTTTTAATTTGAATTATTCAGCGATTCCTTTGCCTACCACTAGAAGGAAGCTTGCGCACCACTAGTGCTACACGTACCAATGTTTGAGAACCACTGTTTTAGACCAATCAGCTAATTAACTTTCTTACAAAAATTTTATGTAAAGATGGTCATTAAATTTGAAGAATACAACTCGGTAACAAAAGCCATTCCCTTTGGTTTACTAATGCTAATGAGAAGTCGTATGTCCTCATAGAATTGATCCTGTACTATACTTAAATGGGGTAGACTTTTGTAGTAAAAACATGTACAAGCAAAGTTATTAGATTAATGTTTTTTTAAAAACAGAGCCTTAAAGTTTAGAGGAAAAATGTTTTGTCAATAGTTAATAATTATACTGAAATTAATAAAAAAAACTGAATAAATAAAATTTGACACATTTACACAAATAAACAAACTGACTCAATGATTGGCTAAAACTCTTGTGAAAAGAGGACCATTATAATTGAATCTGAATCTCATGTCATGATTCTCTGTTTTTTTAGTCCACATCCTGGCTTTGGTCAACATTGGCAGGCATGCGGATCAGGCTGCAGGGCTCCGGCCACGCGGCCCGTCTCCTCTCCGAGCTCAACCGCTGCCGCCTGTCTCGCCTCCTCTGTGACATCATCCTCCAGGTCGGGGGGCGCTCTTTTCCGGCTCATCGCGCAGTCTTAGCATGTTCCTGCACGCACTTCAACAGCCTCTTCTCCAGATGCTCCAGCAGCCAGGGTGCCGTTCCCACCACCTTCTCTGTGGATTTCGTCTCGGCCTCCAATTTCGAGAAGGTGCTGACGTTTATCTACACGGGGGAGATTTTCACAGACTTGATCGATGTGGGTGTGTTGTATGAGTTGGCGGAAAGGCTCGGCGTGAGGGAGTTGGTGAACGCTTGCCACGCCACCTTTCCTGACCTACAAAGCTCCAGCTCTGGAAACACCACAGGCGATGGAGACTTGGAGAGTGATATGGTGTCTACTAATGCGGTGGCTGCATCCGTTTGCTCGTCTTCCGCAGCGTCCTGCTCTTCCCTGTCGTCTTCAGCCGCTCCAACACCTGTAACTCCATCTCCAGTTTCCCAGGTCAGAAACGGCAGGTTGAATCGATCCCATCTGGCCGCACAATCACCAAAAAACGAAGACTTGCAGGTACATTTGGGTTACAGCCAACAGGAAATAAACAAGCCAAGCCCGTCAGATAGTAACCGTTCTGCAGACACCCTTCCAGGCCTCACTTTGCAGCTCAAGCAAGAGGATGAAGAAGACGATGATGAAGAAAATAGGGGAAGTAACTCAGTAGACCAGGTTGTCATTAATGGTAGCAAACCAACATTTGGGGCTCAGGAAACATGTTCAGTTCCTGATTCTTCAGCTCAGGTTGTTGGAGAAACCTGCGCTCCTTCATCATCCTCCATTGACCCGTTGGATAGTTTGCAACTTAGTGCTGTTGCAGGACCAATCAAAGAGTCCGATTTTTTTGAGGAAGATGATGCTAGGAAGAGGTCAAGTGTTCAGGAGGAGCAGACGGAGAGTGGTGATCAATGGCGAGCTCTTTCTGAGGACATCATTGAGCTGAGTGACGAAGAGGAACACTTTATAGTGGAGGAGGAGGACGACGAGGACTTGATGTGTATTGAGAACGGTGAAAATGGTGCATCTCTTGGGCAGATGTCTCCATCTCTGCCGTGTAAATCATGTGGGATGCTGCTTCCCGCAGAAAATGGCATCATTCGGACTCATGCGGAGACGCACCTTTCGGATTCGGGTTCTTGTCAGGTGTGTGGCGCATCCTTCTCGGACCGTGCCGCTGGTGTTGCACATGCACTCACTCATGTGGGCATCTTGCTCTTCTCGTGTGACGTTTGCGAGCACCAGTTTAGGACTGAGATGGCGCTGATTCACCACAGACGTCAGTCAGCAGCCAAATGTGTCCCGCAAAACCCTGAGCAGATGAACGGAGCCGCCCAAAGGCAAGGAGGGGAACTGCAGTGCGCCGTCTGTGCTAAATCCATAGCCAATGACTTCAAGGTAATTGGAGCTCTGTTTTTAAGACCAACCCTGTTCCTGTTCCTGATCTTCCTTCCTGCAGATTTCAGTCGCAACTCGCAAAAAAACACCTGTCTGTAATTATCAAGTGCTGCTTCAGGTGTATTTGATCTTGGTTGCAGCTGAATTCTGTTGGAAGATAGATCTCCAGGAACAGGGGTAACCATATGGAGTTAATCTAGGGCCATGTAAACTTGCAAATAAAAAGTTTTTCAAACAAAAAATAAAGTATTGAGCAAAAAAATGCAGATCTCCAAAAATCGCAAAGCGAAAATGAATGTTTGAGAAATTAAAGTTCCTTTTGATAACAAAAATAAAAAACTTAAATGGAAAATTAAGTTGAGAAATAAAAATAAATTTGCAAACAAAAAAGAACTGCAAATAAAAATCAAGCAGTGCAAAAAAATCTAAAATATTTGCAATTAAAAAAAAAAAACGAAATATATTTGCAAAACATTTGTTATAGCATTGTTTTTACAAAACCCATTCAGTTAGTTGGTGAATGCTCAGTTTGATTTGCTTTTGTAGTCAACCGAGAGTTTGGGATGCTGTTCTCACTTTGCACTTCATGTTTCTGCGCGTTTCACTTAGTGGCCCTGAAATGACAAGGGGGCGGAGTCAAGGGAACTTGGGCATTTAAAGCAGGCCCGGACCTTCTGGGCTGTAAGACCCTCGGTGATACTGTGTCTCCAACTGATGACATGGTTTAAATAGAGGCAGGTATGGGCCTGCCATAAACACCCAAGTTCTCTTGACTCTGCCCCCTTTTTCTTCACGTGAAACAGCATTGCAAACTCACGGTTGACTACAAGAGCAAATCAAAGTGAGCATTGAAATTGACCAGACGGGTTTTGTAAAGGCAGTGATATAATAAATGTTTTGCAAATATATTTAGTTTTTTTATGATTGCAAATATTTAGTTTTCTTTTTTTTTTTTGCACTGCTTGATTTTTATTTGCAGTTTTTTGTTTGCTAATTTCAATTTTATTTTTCAAATCTCATTTTTACCCTTTGCAATTTTTAATTTTTGTTATCAAAATGAACTTTTACTTCTCAAAAAGTAATTTTCATTTTACGATTTTTGGAAATTTGCATTTATTTATTTATTACCGCCAACTTATCCAGCATACGTTTTAAACAGCGGATACCCTTCCAGCTGCAACCCAGTACTGGGAAACATGCATACATGACTTTTTTTCTCTCTGTTCGGCATTATGTACACACCGAGATGCGATTTTTATGCACATAAATGTAGCTTTTTGAAAAAGTTCTTCACAGTGGATAAATTTGAAAAACAAAAAATAGGCGTAGGGAAAAAATATTGATACAGCGCAAGTACCATGACATTTTTTGCGGCAAAACTATATAGATACACGGATGCCGATATCAGGATATATTGCAAATGTTTTTCACCAATCACCAATCAATTGTTACCAATTTTATCATTTAATTTGGTTGAATTTTAATTTTTTTTTTTTTTCAGTCATTAAACTTGAGTCAGCAACAACATTTGATATTATATTTGTCCTTTTCTGGAAAGAACTTCTCTAAATTCCAAAATTTTATTTTACAATTGGACAGACATGTTACAAGACCTTTATAGAATAAATATAAAAATATTACACCAAACACATAGCTAATAAATCCAGAAAAACCTAGGAAAATAACGCAATAGTATATAAACAATTCCATTTCACCACAATTAAAAATGTGCATGGCATGGTGACTCAGTGGTTAGCACTGTTGCCTCACAGCAAGAAGGTCGCTGGTTTGAGTCCCAGCTGGGCCAGTTGGCATTTCTGTGTGTAGTTTGCATGTTCTCCCTGTGTTGGCGTGGGTTTCCCTCTGGTGCTCGGGTTTCCCCACAGTCCAAAAACATACACTGTAGGTGAATGGGATGAACTAAACTGACCATAGTGTACGAGTGTGTGAATGAATATGAGAGTGTACGGATGTTTCCCAGTACTGGGTTGCAGCTGGATGGGCATGCGCTGTGTAAAACATATGTCGGAATAGTTGGTAGTTCATTCAGCTGTGGCGACCTCTAATAAATAAGAGACTAAGGCAAAGAAAAAAAGAATGAATATTCTGACAGCTTAAATCTCTGCCCCTACAAAGATGATACTTATCAAAGATAATGTTGTACAACACTGGCAGTTAATTCTATTGATGCATTTAAATTAATACCATATTATTTACTTTTTCCCCTCAGGCTGTCAGAGACCACGTCCAGAGCCACGCATGCTTAAGGACATTGCGCTGTGGAGTGTGCCAGCTCTCTCAGCCCTCACGTTGCGCCCTCCTGTGGCACACACTCACACACCTCTTTCCTATTTACACCTGTCCACAATGCTCCAGCCCCTTCCTAGAGAGCTCTCAGCTGGACCGGCACCTGTCTCTACATGCGGAGGAAGAAGAAGCTTCAATGAAACAAGTCGACGGCAGTCCGGAGACCAGCGGAGAAGGCCAGGCCGAGCTGCGATGCTTTCTGTGCCCACAAACCTTCCGCTCTGAGGCGGCGTTTCATTACCATCTCAGCATGCATACAAACGAGCTCCAGGGCGGTCAGGTATGGCCAGGAAAACGCAAGGCAGACCAGCTTCTTGAATACTCCTCGTCCTCCAGTTCTCCTTTAGAGCCGGGCGGTTCCGGTAAAGGAGGTTTTAATGTAGGTTTCAACCTACAGGACAAAATAGCTCCCGGTGGACATTTCCCAACCGGACTTGTTTTAAATGGCAATTCCATCGGAGCCGCAGGGCTTAGAGAAAAATTATATCGTTGTCGTTATTGCGGTAAACATTTCGCACACTCGGGCGAGTTTACCTATCACCTCCGAATTCATACAGGTGAGAAACCGTATCAGTGCAAAGTATGTCTACGGTTTTTCCGTGGCCGTTCCACCATGATCTGCCACCTGAAGACGCACTCGGGTGCGCTCATGTACCGCTGCACCGTCTGCGGGCTGTTTTTCTCCACACTTAAGATGGTTTCTTCGCACATGGAGGTCCATAAAGACCAGCTGCCAGCCGATTTTAACATTGAGGAGACCTTTATGTATAACGACCACTCTAAAGACCCCGTCCCAAATCTGGACACCTGAAAAACAGCTGAAAATCTCTCCGTCACACTGTGTGCCCGGTTTACTTACTCAGTTTGTCGTTGAGGATGAGTAGACTTAGAATGTAATAACTCCGTGTTTGGTGTGTTTGTGTCGTCGTGTGCAGAACCCTTTTTTTTTTTAAAGATTAAATTAAAGGCAGATCTTTATTTTAAGAGATGTAATGCTAATACTTGACCACTTGATGGCAAGAGAGACACATTGGAAATCAAACTTTTTTGAAAGCACCTTGTTTTTTTAAATATATTTTCTCATGCCTTCTTCTTTACATTTTAGAGTCTCTGCATAGTCATAACTAAAATAAACATATCAAAAGTATCTTTTACTGTAGCTTTTCAAACTTTTGCCAAGAATACAGTGAGTTGTTTGACCAAACAGCACTTTTTGGCTGCTTTTCATTCTCTTATCTGTTCTAACTCATTCATTTAAAGTGAAATTTGTTCCTAAAATAAGTTTAGGTCATTAATATAAACACGGGTCATACTTTGATGGTTCATTGGTTAAATTTATGTTACATTGCATCTACATGTCAACTAATTCTCTATTTCTAACTAATAGTTCACTGTCAGTTTAGTGAAAGTTGACATGAACTTGCAAAGTTTCTTACAGTCAGTTGAATATCTGTTTGAAGGAGCAGTATCAGCAAATATTAAGCAGACAGTCTACTAATAGTCAAATGGACCATCAAAATAAAATATAGAGCTAGCTGCCTTAGCAAGTGCAATTTAATCCACTAAAGAAGACAGTTTGTTTTGGTAATCTTTGATCAACGTCTGACCATTTGCTTCTGTGTTTGGAGTGGCAGTCCTTCTGACTTCAACCACATTAGTCTTAGCCACGCCCCTCTAACCATTAGTTTGCTATTTGTGGATGATGTGCAAAAAGAAAGCCCCGCCCCCTACTCAATATTCAGTTTTAGTTGGAAGTACATCAACATACTGAAAAAAAAAGTCTCAGCAACTTCCAATTCATACCAGTAACCATAAACTACTAAAGTTTCAGCTAAATCTGTACTGATGGACTACTGAAGAAGAAAAGTCACCCACATTGGATGAGCTAGGGAGTTCAGATTAACTCCAACAAATTCAGCCAAACGTCTCCAAAGTCGCATTTATGTTTTATCTCTTTATTGGGCTAAGAAAAATTTCAAATATGGTAACTTTAATGACTTTTATTACAATATAATATGTTTTTTAGACACAAAAGTCTTTTAATAACGTCCAGTAACACTCCATGGGTTTTAATATCTCAGTGAGTGGCCTATAAAGGGTTAATCCAACTCATCTTTAACAGGATGTCCAAGTGCTGATGTGCAATTACCTCTATTTACTCTTCCGGCAGTCTTTCACAATAAGCTAAGGCTCTAGAGAAGCACAAACGCAAGTGAGCGTTGAGAATAAACCAACTTTGTTTCTACTTTTTCTGATAAATACAGCAGTGCTCTAGGTCAAGGATATAAAAAGGGTCACTTTTTAAATAAATAAATAAATAAAGGTACTTTTCTGTTACAGAATAGCTGTTATTTTTATAGTAGTGTTAAGTATCATTTAGAAATAGCAACTGGTTTTTGAGATGCAGTACCATAGAGTTTGTATAGTCTGTTGTACATAAATAATTTTTTAACACCATCAATGAACGTTATTTGGAAAATAAGGGATTTAGACTGAGGTGCTAATATATCAGTTGTTTCTTACGGCAGTGTTCACTTTCTCGGTACATTTTATGTTAGTTTACATGTTTCAGTACAAACCGTGTTGTCATGTGGGAAAGAATATAGGCTCTCTTCTGAATGCTGAGATGTTTTTCTGTACCATTTCCAAGCAGTTATATGCCTTTTATTCAGTATGTCTCTTTTTTATGTATAAATGGGACAGGTTTTATTATTACTGTACATTTTAATTTCACTTTAAAACCAGTTTGTCACACTGGTCCATTCATGACGTAATGTCACTGGTCAACAACAACAACAACAAAGCGTGTTTTCAAAATTAATGGGACAGTGTTGTGATAGCTTTATTTGAAATGTAGCACAGAAAAATACTGGCTGAACAGAACAGCCTTATAAATTGCCAAGTGTTTTCAAATATTCCATCACGTTTTATCAATCAGTCACTTTTTTAGGGCAAAAAAATGCATATTATAGTTTTTATCATGGTATGTAGGAGACAGACATCTTTATCGACTCTCATTTGTGTTAAATTTCAGGTCCTTTTTGTACTATATTTTACTTTCAACATAAAATAATTGCCTTATATTACTTGTGTTATTTATATGATTTATAAATCGGTTCAAATGTCAGTATCAGAAATCTGTTTTACAACAGTTGTACTTGTGTTCTGAATAAACAAACTGTACTTACAAAACTAGTCAATGAGTCATTTTAAAGCTGCCATACTGCATTGGTTTAATAAGTTAAATTGTTGTCTGATATTTACATAGTAGGTTTATAGCTTTGGTATGGTCCAAAATGTGTCCCATACATAAGCTCATTTGTCCTATTTTGACTGATACAGTGCATACGGAAAGAATTCATAGCGCTTCAATTTTTCCACTTTTTTATCTTACAGCCTTATTCCAAAATGAAAATGTATTCCAATTAAATTCATCTTCAAAATTCTACACACAGTACCCCATAATGACAATGTGATTTTTTTTATTGTTGCAAATTTATTAAAAATGAAAAACCTGAAAAATTACATGTACAGAAAAATTCACAGCCTTTGCTCAATACTTTGTTGATGCACCTTTGGCAGCAATTACAGCCTCAAGTCTTTTTTAATATGATGCCACAAGCTTGGCACACCTGTCTTTCGGGATTTTTGGCCATTTTCAGATCTCTTTAGAGATGCTCAACAGGATTTAGGACTGGGATCTGGCTGGGACCCTCAAGGACATTCACTGAGTGCTTTGGGTCATTGTCCTGCTGGAAAATTTACCTCCGATTTCCCCAGTCGGAGGTAAAGAGCACTCTAAAGCAGGTTTTCATTCAGGATGTCTCTGTACATTGCTGCATTCATCTTTCCCTCTATCCTAACTAGTCTTCCAGTTTCTGCTGCACCATGCTTCAATGTTGGGATGGTACTAGCCTGGTGATGAGCAATGCCTGGTTTTCTCCAAACAACGCCTGGCATTCACTCCAAAAAATCCAACTTTAGTCTCATCAGACCAGAGAATTTTGTTCCTTATGGTCTGAGAGTCCTTCAGATGCCTTTTGGCAAATTCCAGGCAGGCAGTGGCCTCCGTCTGGCCACTCTACCATACAGGCCTGATTAGTGGATTGCTGCACAGATGGTTGTCCTTCTGTAAGGTTCTCCTATCTCCACAGAAGAACGCTGGAGCCCAGACAGAGTGACCATCGGGTTATTGATCACCTTACTGACTAAAGCCCTTCACCCCCGATCACTCAGCTTTAGAAAGAGTCCTGGTGGTTCCAAACATCTTCCACTTACAGATGATGGAGGCCACTGTGCTCATTAGAACCTTTCTGTAACCTTCTCCAGCCTTGTGCTTTATGACAATCCTTTCTTAGAGATCTACAGACAGTTCCTTTGTCTTCATGCTTGGTTTGTACCTTGACATGCACTGTCAGCCCTGGGACCTTATATAGACAGGTGCATGCCTTTTCAAATCATGTCCAATCAACTGAATTTACCACAGGTGACAAGCTGCTGAAACATCTCAAGAATGATCAGTGGAAACAGAATGGAAAAAGAAATTTAGAGCTTCACTGCAAAGGCTGTGAATACTGATGTACATGTGATTTCTCAGCTTTTTTATTTTTAATACAATTGCAACAATTTAAAAAAAAATTGTCATTCTGGGGTATTGTGTGTAGAATTTTGAGGAAATAAATTAACTAAATCCATTTTGGAATAAGGTGGTAACAAAAAAAAATTTGGAAAAAGTGAAGCGCTATGAATACTTTCCGGATGCACCGTGTGCCATCATAAATTGTGAAAATACCCCATCAAAAAAAGCTTTAAGACCAAGTGTCGCTTTGGTGTGACTTTTTTTTTATTTTTCAAGAGTCCAACATCTGCTGTACAAGAAAACTTGAGAATCTGATGTAAGTGAGGTTATCTTTCACTACTGACCTACTGTATTGTTAAATAGAGAAAATCTTTTACAAGTAACTATTATTCTAAATCTTGGAGCTTATTCTTAAAACAAAAATGAGCAATGAAAAGATGTGGAGCACAAAAAGTGAGCCATATTAAAATTAATGTTGTTATCCATGACCTTTAAACACTTTTTTTACAAGAGAGGCTAGAAAAATCTGCATTATGTTATACATTATTATTTTTATTGTGTTTTTTCTTATTACTCAAAGGGCCAAATTAAGACTGAGGAAAGTTAAGTTTGTAATCTGCCTAACAAATAATAATATACTACAGTTTTTAATTTAAAACAGATTTTATTTTTTTCTATTTTATTTCTAATGAAATGTAATGTAATAATTTTTTTTTTCATATTTCTTTATTCTAAAACCTTATTGGTACATCACAAAGTGTGGTTATGATGACCATCTGACAAGCTAATCCAACTAAAAATTGTGCTTTAAAATGTCCTTAAAAAGCAGTATGTAAATCTCTGAAATTAAAAAATAAGGAGAATAACTGCAAAAAGGTCCACTTTTTAAGAAAAGGAAACCACCCTTTTCACTTGGGTGGCTACAGGCCTACATTTAAATAATAATGAGTATTAGTGAAACATAAACCCAGTCAGAGTAATGGTAACCTGTTTTGCTCACCTGATCTGTTGTGGCTACAAAAAACAGACCCCTGACCCCCCCTAAATTTAGACGTTTATTTTTATGTCAAAACGCCACGGAGAAGCTGGATCAGCCACCGGTGGCAGACTGCGGAGATATGACTGAGGTGAGGTCTCTCTCTCGCGCTCTCGGTTTCACGCGCAGTCACTCCCTGTGAGACAATGCACATCAGTTCCCCGCATTCCTCAGAAGTTAATCCCCAAGTTAACCCCCAAATTGACACGGGTAATAAAAAGATTCAACTTCAGCCATGTTCAAAAACTCAAAATTTCCACTGTTAATTATATTAGACTTCTGTTTTCAATAGCGATTTTAACACTTTTAATATAGGCTACGCAGAGCCCATTATTAATCAGAAATTGAGTGTACATATTTTACATAAGGAAATGCAGTGTTGAACAGATAAAACACTTTATTAAAACTTAGTTTTACAGTGTAAAACTAGAGTGTAATTTAAAGACTTAATTAGGTTATGTTAACTAGGAAAGTTGGAATAATTAGTCAAGTTATAGTATAACTGGTTTGTTGTGTAGACAATCAAAAATATACAGTAAATATTTCTTATTTCTTTTTTACCTTTATTTATACATTTATATTTATATATATATATATATATATATATATATACAAGATAAACTATAAGAAATAAGACTTAATATAACTGCAGAAGAGTTTTAATTTTTTAGGAAATACGGAGATAAAGATTTCCTTGGTTTGTTAAAAATCAATAGGAAAACATTATTTTAAATTAAAGAAAAACAAAATAAATCGACTTCAACAGCATCTGTTAAAGTACTATACTTGAATGGTAAAAATGTGTTATCCTCCAGTACAAAGTTGTTTGTCAAATAAAATAATTGTTTAAGTTGTTTGTGATGTATGTTAAAATGTGCCCCCTAAAAGTACAAGTGGCGCCTGCCCCTCCCCCAGTTACTCTGTTCTAAAACCGCCACTGGCTTAATTATAATGGGGTATATGGGTATATGCCGAAGCATGCTAATAGGACTTTTAATTTGCCAGTAACCTGGGTTAAGCGCTTCCGGCGAATTGAATGCCAATGCAAAATCCGGTGCGTTTAAGGTCTGTTTTCTTTAAAAATCTGCGATCTCCACAAGCTGAGTGATATCCGATTTAAAGTGGGTCTCAGATTGTACAAGAAGCACTGCATTAAATTACATTTCCCCCGCCATATCTTTATAATATGAGCATTTATTTTACCCCAGTATATTCAATGGAGCTTCTGCGTTAGCCTGCCGATTCTGACGGCCGCATGCGAGTAAACAGCTTTTTGTCTCGTTTTACGCTTGAGCAACTAAATAAGTGCTAAAGTTATTTAACTGAATGTATTGTAATGACATTACAACATCGATGCTGTATAAGGAACCGTATAAAATGGTAAAAATTTCACAATAACAGGTCACCGGAAGTGTATCAGCATGGGAACAGCAGTAGCTCGGCATATACCCAAAAGAGAGGGATAGAGATGTATGGTGTTATATTTTAAAGCTAAAGAAAGCACAGCAAGGAATGAATATCAGCCTCTGCATGACTGAGGTAAAGTTGGTTTTATATTGGCACATTCCTTCATTTAACGTTCCCTATATTATCTACTACACTATTTTGAATAAAGGGTCTGAATCACATGTAAATATGACTTAAAAACAACATTAGCACTATTTAATTGACTGTGAATGATGCTGTACTTTGATATTCACTGCTAATATTATTTCACAAGAGTTTGCAAATAATTCATTTCTGAAATTATATTATTAAGGATAAAGTCTGAATGTGCGAAAATAAAACCAGCTTTACCTCAATCTCTGCATGAACATATGACAGTTGGGCTGAGTGATTTGACAAGTTTCAGCAGTCTACATGCGTTTGTTGAAATATACGCATCAAATTTCACAATAAACACGATAAATTAACAAAAGATCTAACTAAACATACCTTGTGCCTCTTCAGAGTGGAGATGAATAAATGTATAATGTGTAAATTTTGCATTTTGTATCCTGAGGTGAGTTTGAACGTGCCTCGTGCTGTCGTTGCCCAGTAACGCACAGTAAACAAACTGGCGCTTGCGTTTTCAAAATAAAAGTCACAAATACATAGTAAGTGAAGTGCTTAAAAATAACCAAGGGAGGGAAATTATTGATGTTGTCTCACTAGAAAGCGTTGCTTATCAATCGCATCATATTAATGATCTCAGAACTTTTTTTCATGATCTCAGAGCTTGATGACATGGCTGCTTGTCAGGCCCGGATGAACCACCCAAATAGGCATGCATGCAAATGCAGAGAGCATGGCATGTGAGTCTAGTTACAGTTTGTTTTGTCTTTTCATTGTCACATTGTCCACCGGGGTTTCATACTCGATGAATTTACATGAAAATGAGTAAACAATGGTGTCTGAAGTTCACAGTATGCTCTTCCATATACTGATCTATTTCTGATCTACTCTACTATGCCTTGGTATACCCAGATTTTCATTATAGGGCATGTTTGAGAATTCAACCTCTATAAGACACTTTCCAATGTTAGTATATTTATTTTCAACAGAATTACTTTTTTATGGCATAATTTGAGCCCACATTTAAACTCTGTGGTTGTTAAATTAATACATTTTAACCCAACTGTGAGGTTGATCCATATTTTACTCGAATTTGGGTTGAAACAATAGCATTTTCAAGTGTTGCTTCTTTGATTTGACAATTTACTAACACGCAATCTTGTCTGGACACAACAAAATATTCTAATTCACACAATAACAAATGATTAAAAGACTTTTAAGAACCAATTTTATTTTGTTCTAGTGAAATCACATACATAACTTTATGTACAAACAAGTTGCTGAATTCAAAAGCCACTTAAGACAGCATTAGGTGTGATTGATAAGAACCACTAAGTGAAAGTTGTTGTTGAAGTGAACGAACAAAAAAAAAAAAAAAACAGTTGTACAAACACTGGCATGTGGATAGAGCTTTTATTATCCTGGAGTTCCTAGATGTGTCAATAGGAACTAGAGGAAATAGAGGTTACAAAAGGTTGGCGATATTTCCTTCCTTGCACTGTTTGCAATGCTGAGGTGAGAAAAACAGGAGAAAATATGGCTAGTTACCAGGCAACTGACCAATTGCAAGCACCTTAACAAGGCCACTTTTTTTCATAGCAACTTCCTTCATCGTCACTTAATAGTTCATGCGCCAATGTCAGAGTGACTTGTGCTAGCGTTACTGAGCTTCCTCTCTTTTACTGCTGTTGTTCCTTTGTTGTCGGCTTCTGCATTCGCAGGTGCACTGGCAGGAGATAAAGAGATGCGGCTGATCACTGCGTTTATTAAATTGTTGCGGAAGCTCTGGCTGAGGAAGTTGTAGAGGATTGGGTTGGCGATGCAATGAAAGAGCGACAAGCATTGCACAAGGCTAAACGAATAGTACAGCACCCCAACCGTATTGCAGGAGAACAGATGTGGGTCCATATCATCCACTGTCAACAAGAACAACACCAAATGGTAGGGTAGCCAGCAGACCACAAAGACCAGTGAGTACACATGTACCAACCAGACATCCCGACGATTCTGGACCTCTGGAGCAGTGCGGACGGCTCTGGCGATCAAGAAGTTGCAGGTTATAATGACAGACGCTGGAGCCAGAAACTGGAAAATCAGGCATAGGAAGGAAACGGACAGAAACCATTCTGTGTGGTACTGCTCAGGAACCATGTAGCAACCCGGTTCATCCCACTCCAACAGGTCAACATGGACGTTCTCAAGCAAGGCCAGCAAGAGAGAAAGGAGCCAGATCCCGGCGCAGAGCAACCAGCGGCGTTTGTGCTGCTGTGGGAAGCAGGCAAGAGTGTTGGGCCTTGTCAGGGACAGGTATCTCTCCAGGGTCATGAAGGCCAGGAAGAAGGAGCTACTGTAGAAGTTGATAACATACACAAGGTGTGTGACCTTGCAAAGAAAGCGTCCCCACAGCCAGACCTTGTCCATGGTCACCTCCAGCATGAAGAACGGCATGGTGAAGATCACCATCAAATCAGACAAGCTCACGTTGATGATGCAGAACAGCACCCCATTCGCTGAATGCCGTCTTTTCCAGTTTACCCACACTACAATGGTGTTCTCTGCCAGTCCCACCATGAACAGGCCTAGGTAAAGAAGGAAAAGAGCGATTCGCCGGCCATCCGCATCTAAGTGAATGGTGCAGTCGTAGACGAACCATGGTGTGCCGTTGTAGAAGTCGAAAGATGAGTTGTGAATATCATGCGTCATGTTCTGCAAACAGAAACAACATAGAAGGATTTGCTCAAATGTTATTCAACAGAGCTACTCTTAAGGTAGTTTTCTAGTTTGGGAGTTGGTAAGAAAATGGGGATTCTGGGGTTTAACCTAATCCACAATCCTCTGGCCCTTATTAGTCTATGATTCGAGAACGTTTAGGTTCTCATCCTAATCAAAATCTTTGATTTTCAAGCCATCTTGAGGCCTTTGGCTATGTTATTCAGGTATTTTTAAATACCATTGGAGGGCTTAATAGTGGATCTCAATGTCTAGGTCAAGGTCTTTACTTTTCTTTAGAGAACTGTCAGCCAGAGACAACCAGATAACGGCAAAAAACAAAACAAGATAAAAGTTTGCCAAATACAAGTTCACAATTGTTTTAGTATGTTAGATTGTGGTTTCAACCATATCCTAAAATTGACCTTAATCAGCACAAGTTGCCTGTTCCTGCTTTTAAAGGACTGTGTGTTGAACTTTTTTTCTAGAATCTCCTGCCCTCGATGCATTTTAGGCAAAATGTCAGAGATGCAATCCTTTAACAGCAGGAATAGCAAGCTTTGACCCTCAGTGTCCTGCAGATTTCCCTCAAAATCCATCCTGCTTGACCTATCCCAGATCAGAGGTTTTGCATAGTAAATGTTAAGGGCCATAGCTACCCACCTCAGCCTTTTGGCACGAAATATCTTAATTATGACTAACGTTTATGTTTCACAATTACAAAGTTAAAGTCCAAGCAATCACCTCAGGAATCAAAACTATTGGAGTCATTTTAGTGTCCTACTAAGAGTAAGGAGACTTACCTTGTTCTGTGGTTCTGGCAGATGAGGCACTCAGGGTTAACCCCGTCTACAGAAACTGTCCTGAATAATATCACTGGAGTATTTGCTCGGCTGAATAGTTTCGTGGGATCTAGTCGTAGTTTGGCTTGTGGGGCAAAATAAGCTCTTCCCTCTCTCTTTCACGCGGCTGGTTGCTCCACCATCACACTGACAGGACATCCTCACAGGACAGGAGGGGGTTGAATCCGACAGGAAAGACTCCAAGATTCTTTTGATTTTAGATAGTATCATCCACATAACCGAACAGCATGTTTATTTTTCCAAGAGCATTGGTCTAAACAAAGCTTGGAGCCAAGATGGAATTAAAGTGCTTCCAGGATGCAAATCTGTACTAATGAGCAGGCACATGATACTCTTATTGGTAGCTAAACGCATTATGAATTCTGCCACTATGTTATGTAATAAACAAACACAAAAATAGAGGAAGGTTGGGCGAGGTCCCCTAATGAGTTTTGAGGGAGATTTACTGTTAAATAACTGTAGTCTACAGTTTTCATTATATTCCCACCAAACAAGCTAAACTTTGAGTAGAACTTTTAAACAAAGTGCTTGTAGGATTGTAAATAGAATTTGCATTAACATTTATTATAAGATAAATTTAAATCAAAAGTGATGGCGGAAGAAATTAATTGATACCTTCTTCATTTATTCAAACATTTGATAACACTACTGGGTTATTACCTCAGCTTTTAATCCATCCAAGTGCAGAAGTGAGAGTGAGGAGTGAGAGCACACACATCCTGTGAACATATACCCAGAGCAGTGAGAAGCTATTGCATCCAACTCCTGGGGAGCAATAAGGGGTTAGATGCCTTGCTTAAGGGTATTGAAGATTGAGAAAGGAAGGTTCATTCACTTCCCCGATCTTCAATTCCTGCCAGGACTGGGAATCGAACCAGCAACCTTTGGGTTACTAGGCCACAGCTGACCCAGAAATTTAATATCATGGCATTTGATGTCTTAAAATCTTCCACTGGGATGTTAAATGTTTATTAGGGGCAGCTTGATGGCTCAGTGGTTAGCACTGTTGACTCATAGCATGAAGGTCGCTGGTTCAAATCCCAGCTGGCATTTCTGTATGGAGTTTGCATGTTCTCCTCATGTTTGCGTGGGTTTCACAGTCCAAAGACATCCAGTACAGGCAAGCTGGTGTCAAATCCAGTTCCTGGAGGGCCGCAGCTCTGCATAATTTAGCTTTAACCATGATTAAACCCATCTGACCCGACTAATTGAGTCCTTCAGGCTTGTTTGAAACCTACAGGTAAGTTTGTTGAAGCAGGTTTGGAACTAAACTGAGCAGAGCTGCGACTCTCCAGGAACTGGATTTGACACCTGTGGGGTAAACTATTAGTGTGTGTGTGTGTGTGTATGCATGTTTCCCAGTGCTGGGTTGTGGCTGAAAGGGCAGCCACCACATAAAACATGCCAGAGTATGTGGTGGTGCATTCCACTGTGGTGACCACTGATAAAACAGGGACTAAGCCGAAGGATATTGAGCAAGTACATGTTTATTATGATCTTATTTTACATCCCTAATCCTACCTAAACCCAACTATTATCTTATGCAAACTATTAAAAGGCAGCTAATTAGTTGTTTATTGAGCTACATTCGTGATGGTTTGTTTATAATCTGAACTGTACATTAAAATAGTGTGACCAAACATTCTGATGGTATGTTAATGTAGACACACACTACTAAGTTTTTAGATATGCAAGCATTGACTATAGCACACATAGAGGACTTTAAATCAATATCTCTTAGGCCTTGTTATTAGGCTGGCTTGTGTAGCAAGCCAGACTATTGTTATCCTATTTTTCTTCTGAGACTAAAAATTAAACTCTATCTCCTCCTAGAGCTTTCAAGCTATGACCACCAAACTCACACCAGACCTCCAAACTGGTCTGACTCGGGTTGCTATATCTGATCCGACTTTTGGTTTTCCGAAAAACGTCCCGGGACCGTCTGAAAAATCCCATTGACTTAACATTGGACCAAACTTTGTGACCTCATAAGTCTGCATCAGACTGTCCTACAGGCTTCTAACTGGGCTCATTTAACTCAAACTATCTAACTGCCAATAACTGATGAGCTTTTAACTTTCTGGCCACACCCTAGCAACCACTTTTGGGACCCTAGAAACTGTCCCATAGACTTCCACTGCAAAAGACTCTCATTGACTTTACATTGGGTCAAACTTTGTGAGCTCATAACTCTACATCAGACTGTCGCACAGACTTCTAACTGGGCTCATTTAACTCAGACTACCAAACTACCAACAACTGATGAGCTTTTAACTTTCTAGCCACACCCCTAACAACCAGATACGGCACCCTAGCAATGGTCCCATAGACTGCCATTATAGAGGTTCAGATTGATATCGTCATGCTGCAGTGTGATAGAGACATGGGTGTTGCTTTTAACTGTTCATACTGGCAAGAAGCTTTGATACATCTTCAGTCTAAGCTGTCAATCCACTCCATAGCAACAAAACAGACTAACCTAGCAACGATATAACAGCAGCTATATCTCAGTATCAGAACATCGTAGAGAAGCGGGGGTTGGCTTGTTTGACTCATGCTAGCATACCATCCATTCATCCATCCATCCATCCATCCATCCATCCATCCATCCATCCATCCATCCATCCATCTATCTATCTATCTATCTATCTATCTATCTATCTATCTATCTATCTATCTATCTATCTATCTATCTATCTATCTATCTATTCATACTTTTTAAAACTGTTTAAACTAAATAAACTATTACCATCAGGCTTTCACAAGCCAGCCTCAAAGTTTGTTCTCAAACTTTAAGAATCTAGTTGTTATTGAGTCCTCTCTTTATTTTTCTCCAGACACTTTTTTTTGCACAGAATCTTTTCACAGTTCAGAAAGTCTAAAAGGAAAAAAAATATTTAGCTGGTTTGTGCCTGATATCCTGAAAAAACACAGCACCCAGCAGGACAATAGCAGGAAATGCTTTCGCTGGTCGAGGGGCAGTGAGTGGCAGGCAGAGCAAGAGAGAGGTAGGAAACCAATTGCACATTAAACCCCCCCTCTCCAAACACCCAACATCCCCAAAGACCATCACTGCAAACTTGAGAACTAGTACAAACTGATCTCTTATTTAGTCTGGCGTAAAAAGATAGAGATATCTGCCTACACTCAAAAAGTTTGCCGCTATTTTACCAAATTTGGGTTGCATTTTTTAGAGCATAACAAAAGCTTTTGGCTTCAAAGAATGATTGTTTGATTTTTGTCTTTAGCATTTTGTACCCCAGAGTATATACTTTAGCACACACTCTCCTGTTATATGCAATATTTGTGCATGATGTTTTTTCCACGTTCTTCTTCTGCTAATACTAAAAAATAGCAGCTTATCAGCTCTTACAGTGATGTTGTGAATAATGATTTCACATTATAGATGTTTATCACAGGCATCACGTAACTGTATATGTTGGTAATGCATTCATGTACACGCGTAAATACACTCACCGGCCACTTTATTAGGTACACCTGTCCAACTCCTCTTTAACGCAAATTTCTGATCAGCCAATCACAGGGCAGCAACTTAATGCATTTAGGCATGTAGACATGGTCAAGATGATCCGCTGCAACTCAAACTGAGCATCAGAATGGGATGAAAGGTGATTTAAGTGACTTAAAATGTGGCAAGGTTGTTTTGTGCCAGACAGGACTGGTCTAAATGTTTCAGAAACTGCTGATCTACTGGGAACAGCATTTCTGAACGCACAACATGTCTAACCTTGAGGCGGATGGGCTACAGCAGCAGAAGACCACAGCGGGTGCCACTCCGGTCAGCTAAGAACAGGAAACTGAGGCTACAATTTGCAAAGGCTCACCAAAATTGGACAACAGAAGATTGGAGAAACATTGCCTGGTCCGATGAGTCTCGATTTCTGCTGCGACATTCGGATAGTAGGATCAGATTTTGGTGTCAACAACACGAAAGCATGAATCCTTCCTGGTTTGTATTAATGGTTCAGACTGGTGGTGGTGGGGTAATGGCGTGGGGGAAATGCCACAGCCTACCTGAGTATTGTTGCTGACCATGTCCATCCCTTTATGACCACAGTGTACCCATCTTCTGATGGCTACTTCCAACAGGATAAAGCACCATGTCATAAAGCGTGAATCATCTTAGACTAGTTTCTTGAACATGACAATGAGTTCACTGCACTCAAATGACCTCCACATCACCAGAACTCAATCTAATGGAGCACCTTTGGGATGTAGTGGAAAGGGAGATTTGCATCATGGATGTGCAGCCGACAAATCTGCAGCAACTGCGTGATGCTATCATGTCAATATGGACCAAAATCTCCATATAATATTTCAAGTACCTTGTTGAATCTATGCCACAAAAGATTAAGGCAGTTCTGAGGGCAAAAGTGGGTCCAACCCTGTACTAGTAAGGTGTACCTAATAAAGTGGCCGGTGGGTGCCCTCATCATTTTTCAGTTGAAATTACATCAAACGAAGAATATAAAAAAATGCACATTTCAAAGCACTTCACAAGATCTTTTAAAAATTATGGAAACTCGTTGCTCTAAAAAAGCACATTTTGTCCTGTTGAAACAACAAAAGTTTAATGTACCCAAGACTTTGACAGCATTTATTTGAAAGCATTTAGTTAACTGAACTAAAAGCTTCCAGTGCAATACAACTAAAAATGTTAGGTACACAAATGGAAATGTTTCGTTATTTCAACAAGACTAAATTAGCTTTGTTAAGGTAACGAGTTTCTATAAATGCAAGTTCAGTCAACCTGTATAGGCTTAAAAAGGAGGTAAACTCGTAACCTGCAGCACAACCTAATGGTCACCTCATTATTTTCATCTAAAACTGAACTTTTTACAAACAATGTATTATTTGCATATATTAAATAACAGTTTTCTGTTTGTTTTTTCTGAAGAAACTTTGCTCTGGAAGATATGAATTCTAGCTGGTGTTAAAACTCTTAACTGAGGGTTAAACGTGGCCTTAATCAGCCGACTATGAAAAGTCTTAAGGAGAATAATGTGCCGCTCTGAACTCAGTGTTCCAGCTACTCTTACAAGCACAAGGATTGGTCAGCAGTTTGCAGGACGAGCAGCTCTTTTCCATTGTTAAGAGTGTCAGTGCAACAGGAAAGAGTTTGTCAGCAGAATCGCAGCTCCTGGAAAGGGTTTGGTGGATCCTGTCCTTGACCCTTTTCATGAGCAGGTCCAGACCTCCATTCTTTCAAAGGTCATAAGAGATACAGTAAAAAAATAGCAGCTTATCAGCTCTCACAGTAAAGTTGTGAATAATGCTTTCACATTATAGATGTTTATCACAGGCATCACGTACCTGTAACTGTATACACTGGTGATGTATTAATGCACATACATGTACACTACCTGACAAAAGTCTCCAAATAACAAATAATAAGTTGACTTCTAGTTGATCATTTGGTACCAGAAGTGGCTTATATGAAAGGCAAAGGCCTCTAGATTACCCTTATTTTACCAAAATAAAATATGATCATGCCTTGATTTTTAATGATTAAGTTAGGACAGTAAGGTCTGACTTTGCTTAGACAAAAGTTTTGTCAATTAACAGAAATAATGTACAGTGTAGAATATAAAGGCATGGTGCAGTGGAAAAAGAGTTAACATTGTTGCATCCATACATCTCTGCAATGACTCAAATAACTTAATAATAAAGTCATGTGAAATGGCAAAGAAAGCATTCTTGCAGCACTCGCAGGGTTCATCAAGATTCTTTGGATTCATCTTCAATGCCTCCTCCATCTAATCCCACATTTGCTCGACAATATTCATATCTGGTGACTGGGCTGGCCAATCATGGAGTACCTTGACCTTCTTTGCTTTCAGGAACTTTGATGTGGAGGCTGAAGCAAGAGAGAGAGCGCTATCCTGTGGTTTGTAATGTAATGGGCACCACAAATGTCCTGATTCCTTAGGCTGTTGATGTTTCCAGCCAATCTGCAGGTCTCTGGCATTTGTGATGATGGGGATGCAGTTCAACAAAAAAAAAAAAAAAAAAAAAGACGACCTTCTGCCACTTTTCCAAATGATCAACTAGAAATCAAATTATTATTTGCTGCTCTTACAACTGGGATTGACTACAATACTTTTGTTAGGTTAGGTAGTGTATATTTATGTATGTATGCATGCATGTATGTATATATGTATATATGTATGCATGTATGCACGTATACATATATATATATATACAGAGCTTTACATTAACACCTGCCAAATGCAAGTAGATTTCAGCTCTGGCAGGTTGGACAGCCACCTCCACTAGCCACTTTGGCTTGGTGGAAATCATTTTAAAATTGTAGTTTTCTTAAAAGCAGGGTTTGACAATAAGCATGGTCCAATATTCGTGCAAATGTGATATTAGAATCCAGAAGCAGCACGACTGACAAAAATAACTATTCGCGCGAGCAAAAGAATGGTGAATACAGAATGAGAGCATGATCACTCGCGCTAACAGCTGATGTGATGCGCGACTGTTAAAAAGCGTGCACGCGTTCCCATTTACTTGCGCAAAGCAACTGTAACTAGAGGAAGCGCAACGGGTGCGATTGGTTCCCTTTGAAATAGACTGGACACAGAGCGATGATCGTGCACCCACAGTCCTGCTGCTTTCAAGAGTTCAAGATTTAAAAAAAAATAAATAAATAAAAATTAAAAAAATACACATTCTTTGTGACAGCGGTCACTGCTTTCATTTTAATTATTCTAAGAAGAGATTATTAACAGGCCTAACATTAACCGTATGAATAATATGTTTCACCTGCTTGCTTTTACTTAGTTATTTTTGTTAATATGGTTTAATTTTATTTTTTTTTACAATAACATTGCTGTAATGGGAGATTACTCCCTGTTTATGTGTAGTTAACTGGTGTTCTGAGACCTTTAGCCAGGACAGATTACTGTGCATATCTTAGATACATGACAATAATTATTTCGTTAAATGTAATGTGTTTTTTTTTTTAAGAAAAGTCTTGTTGAATTAAAGTGCACCTATAAAGCTATATTTTCCTTGTTTTTACACATTAAAAAATTGTGGCTGAGAAATAGTTTTTTGGTGTGGTCAGAGATAAATTTGGTAAATCCTTAATTTTGAGCCCTGAAAAGTCGTGAAATAAAAACTGATTGCATTGCGGCACAACCCATTTGCACATGCACACTGAGCAAGCTAATACACAATACACACAAGAAGTTAAATGAATGAGAAGGCATGAGGACAAAACACAATATCTAAATCAAGTCATTTAGCATGTCAAAGTCAAATTTAAGCAAAATATATTTTCCCAACAAAAAATGTGTGGCTAGTGAAAATGGTGAGTGGCTAGTAATGTTGGAAATCTACTAGCCACAGTGGCTGGTGATCAAAAAAAATGTCAAGCCATGTATATATAAATATTGTTTATTTTTTAAAAGTTCCTAACGACTGTCCAATTATACTAATTATAAATTTAACAATTAAATTTATTAGTGTTTAACAAGTTCTAAAATTACATGTTAAGTATATAAATATACAAGTATAAATATACAATAAGTCAAAAATAAATATACATGTCCTATAGACACGGTATTTAATTATTAAAAATTATTATATACATTCTTTTATTGCCTTATTGTTTGATGATATTATTATTATTTCAGTACAACTCCAATATTTTAAATATAAATAATTAACATTTTGTTAAAGTATTACATATAACAAAAATATTTTAAACACAGTATGAGTTTATAGTTCTTATATTTAAATAAATATGATTTTTTTATTTTAAAAGGCAGTTTTATGTTATTTTTACTGAATAACTATAAAAAAGTACTATCTGCATTATTAATGTAAGACAGCAAATTCTTCCATTTGTAGTTTCAGCACTAAGTAATATTTCAAAATCTGCAAACCAACAATAATAAATGAGCCGGTTACCCAAACTGTTGTTCTGAACAATTTAAAAATGCAAACACGCACTCAACTTCTCATCTTCACCCAGTATATAAGAAAAAAACTATTTTTATTGTACTTAAGAATGCACATTATTAGTGATTACAGCCGTTACATGCATTATATGAACACAATGTAACAACTCGTCTTAGTGTAACAACAAGTGTTAAAACAGCTCTAAAAAAAGACCATTTCAATTACAACTATTATTGTGAACAAAATTGTGCCTCGCAAACCTAAAGGGAATAAATAACAGAAATCATACTGCGGTTTTCATTTTTCGTTGTTGTTTTTTTTTTTTTTTTTTTTTGGAGGGGAATCTGGTCTCTTGAAAAATATATTTGGTCCAAAACACTGATTCGCAAAAAAATAAATAAAATGCAACAATAAGGCATTTCATCCTAAATCAGCGCAGTGTATTTCAGCTACAAACTACCAAGAAAAAATCCCTCTTATAAGGCTAACTGCATAAAGTAGCTCAAATATGAGAGATATACGTGTAATAATGTGTGCTCCGTCCATCCACATATAAACAGTCGGCATTCAATTCAGAATATTACTTTAATCCAGACACGTTTACGGTCTCTGGCTGCCCTTATATATGTTTTTGTTTTGACGTCTTCTAAAGTATCTTTCCAACATTCGAGTGCTGTACAGGTATGCATGAAGTGAGGCTAACATGCACTTTAAGCATGATTTTCAGCTATTTTTCCTTCATACTGGGTTTAAGGCGGTGGTTTCTCTCTCTGCCTATCCAAAGTCCAGAGAGAGGGAGAAAACACACCAGGGGCTATAGTTATGTCACTGCTACGGGTTTAATATCTTCTTAAAAGATTAGGCAAATGCGCACATATTTGTGGATGGAGCCACGAGGTGACTGATTTCTATTGATTTGTGAAACACACGGTTGATGTACAATGCTGGAGTGTGGATGAGAGAGTCCGGTTCTTGCTAACGTGTCACGCTTTAAGATCATCAGGATCATTTTTCTGAAAACATTAAACAGATGCTAGAAGGAGGAGAAAATAAACCTATGTGATGGGAATGGACAGAAACTGCAAAGTTGTGTTGAGAGGATCTGATGAAACTGCTGAAGAACAAGATCCATGTCATATTGTCACCCTAAAATAAAAAAATAAAAAAGAGAAATTGAATAAATTTTTACGACATGTAGATACGCATATACACATATAGTTTGAACATTTTCATATCAGTGAAGAACATTTCCTGCCAAGTATATTTTTATATGTATGCATGAATGTATGTGTATGTATCATACAGCAAATATAGTAATAATAATAATAATAATAATAATAATAATAGATATTAATAGATAATAGAATATAATAAAAATAGTATTTGTATGTGTTTTAATAATAATAATGTGTATTTTCATTTTTTTGGGGGGGTTATATATACATACAACAGTTCTGTCTGGTTCTCGAATCTGATTGGCTGACAGCTGTGCAACATTCTGCAATAACAGCACTCGTACTGCCTCCTCACCTTGTGTATAACTCCACCCACATAGAGTGACAGCAGATCATTAGACTCACTACAGTTTGACAAATATTGCAGCTGTTGGACAACATCATGTACTTTTGAGGCTCTTTTAGGAGAGAAAAGACGGTTGACGTTCCACAAGATTGCGACAGATACCACATAATAAGACTTTAGAGGAGAAAAAAAAAAAACTGTAAAATTTCTGCTGATCAAATCATTATAAAACTGGTAAGTGACATTCTAAGTTGATCTCTCTCTTTTGTATGTTATAGTGCTGGATTTATACCATAGTCTGGTAGTGTTTCTAGTAGTGTTTACTTTGCTTCGGCTTTTTCAGGATTCATTATTGTGATCTTCCAATTACAGTAGAAAAATACTAGGAAGTGGGAAATCTTTGTAGACTGATGGCATTTTATGCCGTTCAGCCTTATAATCCTAAAATGCAAGCAAAATCACCTGTTTCGTCATCACTTTAGACATTACGCTAGAGAATCATTCAAATACCAACGTTAGCTCTAAAGTAAAATCGGCGAAGTAGCAACGATTTCTGCTGTTCTGACTTCAGCTGCAGATGTGAATGAATGGTGGAAGAAAGTAGTTCCTCATATAAAAGGATTTTTAGACTCTCCGTGTTGGATTTTTTTAATATACACGATTATGCCATCGAACTGTTGTATAAACCCAATATCACACTTGTAGCAGTGCGATACGGCTTTATATCATCACTGGTTAACCACACTCCTACCAGTGCCGATATACAGGCATATCACACTGCTGCTTTTATTATTTTTAATCCTACAAAATACACTTAAAATGTTTATTTAACACTTATTTATACTAACTTATGTATGGTTGGGAGTAAAAATGTTAATAATGTGTCTTATTCTATAAATTTCTGATATTATTTCTTCCAAATAATTAATAGTTAATCCTGTCCGATGGCAATTGCTCAAAATAACAAACATTACAATTTTGGATTTTATTAAAAAAAAAAAAAAAAAAAGAGAGTCCCCTACATTGCAGAAATTACTTCTATGTTACATTTGGAGTAAATTGGGTACTGTTTGAAAAGAAAACTTGAGCAATTTGACACAATCTGGCATATAATAATATAATATATATAATATATAATATATATATATATATATAATATAATAACCTGATGGACTAATGCATCATTTTATGTAATGTTTTATTATTCCTTTTCATCAAACTGTTGTTCAAACAGCTCTGTGTAAACAAGTTTTTAGAAATGGCTTGTTATGTGGGTGGGTTAATTATTATTATTATAATTATTTCTCTCTTTCTTTGCTTATGTAATATGTGGACAAAATAAGTAAAACAGAGAATCCTTTTTCCTTAAACTTTGTTTTCAATAAAACAAATTTCACAAAAAAAAAAATAAATAAATAAAAAATCGATTCATCTCAATCAATCATTTAATAAGCTTTGACTAAAAAAAATCTGGATTATTTGACCAAATGTGCTTTATTCAAGAACATTTCCTTTCCTTTTTCTTTCGACTTTAGGGATTAAATCAGACCTTAAAGTGTTGATCCAGAAGAGGTTATGCAAAAATGTTGGAGATGAATTCTCGGAATCGTTTGGCGTACTGTTCTGGATGAACCGTAGATATTTCAGCACCAGCCTGAGAGGAAGGAACAGAGTCATGTTGTCATAACCTTCTGTATCTCACAATTAAGCAAATGACATGGGTTGAGTGCGCATTAACATTGTTTTTTTCCACTCACGCCATGTTTAACAGTCTTTGCGGCGTGTGCTGCCTTCTTCTTAGTGTCATACTGAGTCAACACGTCGATCAGGCCCATGAAATACACCTCCCTCTGCGGCGCTCCTGAAACACAGCACAAAAAAAGTGCATCAATTCTCTTTCATATGTCAACATTGACATTTAGTCATTTAGCAGATGCTTAAGTGCTAATATATACATATATACATTTATACTCACAGGGTTTCTGCTGATATCATAATGTCGAATTTAAGACTTAAGACCTTTTTAAGACCATTAAGTATTAAATTTAAGACCTATACCGCAATATTAAAAACACGCGAGAAAAAAAATGCAAAAAAAATAAAAAATAAAAAATAAAAAAAATCACAAAATTAGTGGTAAAATAAATGTTTTCAAATTGAACAGTACCAAAGACAGGTTAGATGCATTATTGAACTACAGAAAAAAATAAAAAACAAACAAACATCTTAAGGTTAATTTATACCTTCACCTGGTCCCACATCGCGCACCTCACGAAACAGACGAGGCTTTTATACTGGACATGTTCACCATTGAGATATTCTTTTAAATGACAGGGGGCGGTCAAAGGAAACAGACAGTAAAATCAGACGGATAAACAGAGAAGTAGAAAGCTTCCGGAACTAGGTCATATCATTGAAATCATTCAAGATAATTGTTTTTAATTATTTTTTTATAAAGATTTTTTTAACCAGTCAAGATTTTTTAAATCTAATTTTTTAAAAAACGTAAATGATGCAATCACTTGCTTTTGTTCATATCTCAGACAATTCTACCTATTGTAGTTAAATATTAAATGGCAACAGATCTTGGGTTGCTCTACAAATTTTTTTATTATGGCAAGAATAAAAACAAAAAAGAAGCACAGTTAATAAAAATACTGACGTTTTCTATTTATTATTTTTGCTCACTCAACAATTCACACATTACTGTCTGGCTAGTTTCTGTCCTTTACTTATAAGCTAAAAAAGCAATGATGGGCCAACATTCCTGACCATTATGACCAATAAAGCCTAGAAACTGGACATCAGTATATTGTAAACATCATGTTGGTTCATATATTCCTTTCCAGTTACAGTTGAAGTCAGAATTATTAGCCCCTTTATTTATTTTTTTCGCCAATTTCTGTTTAACAGAGAGATTTATTTTCAACACATTTCTAATCATAATAGTTTTAATAATGTGTTTGGAATCTCTAATAACTGATTTATTTTATCTTTGCCATGATGACAGTAAATAATATTTGACTAGATATTTTTCAAGACACTTCTACACAGCTTAAAGTGACATTTAAAGGCTTAACTAGGTTAATTAGGTTAACTAGGCAGGTTAGGGTAATAAGGCAAGTTATTGTATGACAATGGTTTGTTCTGTAGACTAGCTTAAAGGGGATAATAATTTTGACCTTAAACTGGTTTTAAAAAAAGTTTAAAACTGCTTTTATTCTAGCCGAAATAAAACAAATAAGTCTTTCTCCAGAAGAAAAAATATTATCAGACATACTGTGAAAATTTCTTTGCTTTGTTAAACATCATTTGGAAAATATAAAAAAATAAATAAATAAAAAAATTTAAAGGGGGGCTTATAATTCAAACTTCAACTGTATCAAACACATAATTTGTTACTTAATTTTAGTTTGTAACTTGTAAAACTTGTTTTAAATTCAAAAGTGTTATATATACATCTGTGTAAAACATATGACTGATGGAAAAACATATTCTGTTATACTAAAACCACCTAGGTCTCCACTTTTGCATGGTCTCTTTTTTTGTTTTAGCAAACTTATCCCTCAGGTTTTCGCTAACTTTTACAAAATTTTTTCCTTCTTTTCCACAGCTGTTGCAATTTCTAGCCAAAAATTATTGGTCATCTGGTAATCTCTATGATAATGCATGGATAGATCATAAAGAACATGCGTGTACAGTCGATCTCTTCAAAGTGTTTCTTATTCAACTCAAATCAAATGTGGCGGCGCGCAAACTGTTCACTCGAGTCTCAAAACATTCCGTGAACTCTGCCAGCCAAAATCATGTTGCGCGCACGCAAAGCGAACCTCCGCAAACACATCGTGTGATGACGTCACATTCACAGCGCGCACCGAGTTCAATAATAGGAAGCTGATTGGCTATTGCATGCCGGTCTTATTTGTAGTTGTAATACCGCAAATTACAATTGGACTAGCGAAATAAAGAACTGCAACACCACGAAGACCAAGCATCACCAACAAAAAAACTATTTAAATGAACATTAGATGTAGCGATACATGGACATCGGAAAAATAAGACCTGTGCAAAAATATTTAAGACCTAGAACAGCGAATTTAAGACTTTGTTTCTTTCCCGGGAATAATATTTCCTAAGGTGCTGTTGACATGAAATTGAACCAGATTTTTGTAAAAACCCAAACAATACACTCATAAAAATAAAACAATACAAAAAAAAATCTGAGAATTATTTGTATGTAATAACAATGGAATGACACTGAGCTACTGAAACTTATTTAATACTTTAAATAAAAGGCTTTTTGGTAATGGCAGCTTAAAGACGCCTCTCATATGGAGAATGAAATCACATGCATTGCTCAGGTGTGATTTTTTTTAAAGATTTGGTAACACTTTACAATAAGGTTCATTAGTTAATGCACTTACTAACATGAACTAATCATGAACAACACATGTACAGCATTTATTAATCATAATTGAAGATTTACTAATGCATTATTAACATCCAAGTCCATGCTTGTTAACATTAGTTAATGCACCATGAGTTAACATGAACTAACAATGAACAACTGTATTTTCATAAACTAACGTTAACTAACATAAACAAATACAGAAGTAAATGTATTGTTCATTGTTTGTTCATGTTAGTAAATGCATTAATTAACATTAACTAATGAAACTTATTGTAAAGTGTGACCAAAGATTTCAACAGTGTGCAAAAATCTTGATGGTTATGTGGGTCTGATCTATCAAATCTGAGATTTATTTTGCATTTTATATTGGATTCAAGTCAGGTGACTGGCTGGGCCATTCTACGGCTTTATTTTCTTTTTCTGAAAGCATTTGAAAGTTTCCTTGGCTGTGTTTTGGATTATGGTCTCGATTAAATGGTCATCCTGTTTTTTTCTTCATCATCCTGCTAATGTAGATGTTGGACTGAAGCAGCTAATATTAATTTATAATGCAGAGGGTTGCTGAATAACTACTGAGAGATTTCAGTTGCAGTCTGGGGTTTTGCCTTTCTATACCTCCCTTTCTTCATGTGTTGAAAACTTTTCCCCTGCATCATTTTATTACACATAAGTTCATTTGTAAACTAATTAGTTTGGTTTTCTTTGCATAAATTAATTTCTTTGATTGTTACTAACATCCGGTGAAAATGTCAAGTCAACAGCACCTTTAGAAATATGTTTTCTGAAACAAATGGTGACAACTTATTTCCCTCACTGTACACATATAAAAAAGTTCCCCTGCCTCCAACCCATCAATCCTCACCTGGAGCACTTTTGACAGCGTATACATCAATGTAAGGGTCAAACTCTCCAGGGCCCAGCGGTTTGATGGAGTTCATGTATCCAGCGATGCCCTCAGGGGACGTCCCGTAGGAGCCCACCTGCAGAGCCGGAGCCAGACCGTTCTCTGGATCAGCATCGTCTTCGTAGCAGGGCTCTTCGGCCTCCTCTTCCTCACGCTCACCTCGCGCCACGTCATGGATGCCCAGAAGAAGACTGTAGTCCATTATCTTCAGCTTCACCAGGAACTGCGTTAACAACAGAAACGGGATTAATGTAATGAAGTCCGGAAGCTGCGACCGTTTGTTTTCTTTCGTATTGTGACAGTTCCTAGAGAAACGGAATATTAATGAGAAAACAGTGAGCGTGGCTTGTTTTTTTCTACAGTGAGTTGATTGGATGTAGTAAAGTAGGCATTTACTTCAGAAATATCAGGAAAGGATTTGAGGAGAGTTATTACAACCTAACAGACACCACCTCCTCACCATTTCTGTTTGTTGTCAAAGTTGACGGTTGGTGGGGCGTGGTTAAGTATGTTAGCCACACCCCTAAAAGCTCAGACAGATGTTATCAGAGAATTGAACAGAAAACGAACAGGAAGTGCATTTTCAGATTTCAATTAAAGATTACAAGGAGAAACTATTTTTATCTCCTTAATGGCATGCACAGATGAATTGTTCACCACAAAACTAGCAATGTGAGCTAACAAAATCAACACGGTTAGTTTTGATTTCATGTGTATCAATATTTTATCATCTTTTATTTGCTATGGATTAATAAATAACATTGGTGTGAAATGTTCTTGTGGTTTGGAGTTTTATACCAATATTATATACAATTGTAAGCTGATTTGTATAAAAGTGTCTCTAAGTCAATAAAATTAGAGGTGTCTGTGAAGTAAAAACATTGGGAGATGTAAACTCTTTTTATTATGCATGTAAATTTAGCCACACAGTGGCTCAGTGGTTAGCACTGTAGCCTCACAGCAAGATGGTCACTGGTTGGAGTCCCGACTGGGTCAGTTCGCATTTCTGTGTGGAGTTTGGATAGAGAATATCAAGAAAACAGGAAGAGGAAAGCTTCATATTTTTTGGAAAATTTGATGGCTCATTATGCATATACTTATATTACAGCTGTGTAAAACATATGCTGGATAAGTTGGCGGTTCATTCCGCTGTGGTGACCCCTGATGAGTAAAAGGACTAAACTGAAGGAAAATGAACGAATGAATGAATGATATAAAGTTGCAGTTACATTATTTATTTTTATTCAGTGATAAGAAAAACAGATGTAAGATGTAAATTGGCAAATGCTAGAAGATTAAAAAACTGAATTGTGCGATAAAGTCAGATCTCTATATTGTTAGTAGAAAATGGACTGATTCTATTGAATTATTTAACCTTATTATAGAATTCAGAAAGTCAAAACTACAAGGCAAAGGAAAGTTAAAAATGTTAACACAAAATAAAGAAATAGTCAGAATTACAGGATGTAAAACTGAGAATTCTGAGGATTTTTTCTTTAGAATTTTAAGACATGAACACACAATTGTTAAAATAAAACAATTAAAATAGATTAGATATAAACTTCAAATTCTGAAAAACTTTATTCAAGTTTTCATCTTATTTTTAGTACTTTTCCAAATCAGAAACCAGCTTCCAGACACTAACTGGCCACTTTATTAGGTACATCTGTCCAACTGCCCGTTAACACAAATTTCTAATCAGCCAATAAAATGGCAGCAACTCAATGCATTTAAGCATGTAGACTTGGTCAAGACGATCCGCTGCAACTGAGCAATAGTAATGTCCTGCTCATACTGTGAGATTTTAACCATGATTTTGTCATCTGGGAGAAATTTGGGAAATCCTAAAATATTCCTGAAATCCTAGGCTAAAATATGCGGTCTTTGATGATTGATTTGACATGTTTACAGACAGCCACTTAATGCCCGTTGCGATCAGATTTTTCCTCAGATGAAGTTCTGGCAGTGTCAGAAAATATTACACACTTTCCTGTAGTGTGAAAACAGCTGCGATTAGTGTCAATCCAAGAACCAATAGGAGCTCTGAGTTTGATGACGCGACTTATGCGACAATTCAATGACCGCGGGAAAATTACTAAACAGTTTTTTTCTCCGTGATTTATTATTGAGACATGCCGTGTGCTAAATTGCCGCTACAGATTGTTTACGTTTGATGTGAGAAATCATTTTAGAACATGGCACTGTGAAAGTGTCGTCATATAGTAGATAGTGGATGACGTCAAACTCCGAGGGCCTTTTCTTTCTTGTTTTGCATGTCTTCACTGTCGTTCAGTCTGACTTTATGACAACTGAGATCTTACAATGTGGCATGGTAGCCATGTTTGTGCAATCTGACATGCTACAATCCGTTAGTATTAAAAGTAAAAAAAAAAATAAAATGAAATAAAATTTGCAACTCAAATCATCTCAGACTAGCTTCTTAAACATGACAATGAGTTCACTGTACTCAAATGGCCTCCACAGTTACCAGATGTCAATCCAATAGAGCACCTTAGGGATGTGATGGAGATTCGCATCATGGATGTGCAGCGGAAAAACCTGCAGCAACTGCATGATGCTGTCATGTCAATATGGAGCAAAATTTCTGAGGAATATTTCCAGTACCTTGTTAAATCGATGCCACAAAGGATTAAGGCAGTTCTGAAAGCAAAAGGGTGTCCAACCCTGTACTAAACTATTAAATTGACCAGTGAGTGTATATTGTCATTCATCCTGCAGTGTTTCACAGATAAAAAAAAAAACAAGTATACCTCTACATCTCGATTGAGCTTCTCCATCATCTTCTCTTTCTGTTCCTCTGTCACATAAACCTTCTGCATGTTATTTCTGAAATCCATGTCTTTAAAAGTGGGCAGCTCTTTTACCTGCGTCAGAAAAAAAAGAAAAGAAAAAAAGATCAAGACCAAAGACTCTGAGTTTGTGTCTGAGGTCAGATCAGGTACACTTGGGAAAAACAACATTTTACCTTCTCTTTGTCACTGGCCTCACGATCTACCAGAGAACCCTGGAGAAAAAAAACAGAGAACGAAATGACACACTTTTACTTTTAAAGACAGTCGTGATTGCCCAGGATTGAAACCATATAGGATGTTTTGAAAAGTGCAATATCACCCTCTTGTGGCACAAAATCAAAACAGCAATACAAAAATAACTCACATTCTTGCGAAAAGATATGAATTTACATTTGAATTTGTTTAATGAATGGGTTAACCCCTTGAGATGAATCATCTTATTTTTGAGGGGGTCCCGAAAAAGTTCATAATTCAAACAGAGTACTTCACATCATGACAAACATACAACTTACAAAACAAACAAACAAACAAACAAACATCACACTTCACCTGAAACACTTTCCACAATCTAAAGCCTAAATAAACAAAAACATATAATCAAAAGTACAAACAACTTGATATACAAATAAATAATAAACATTTCAATTGGAACCAATATTAATAACATTCGCAAGTTGTTTCCAAAAAAGAAAATAAATTAGGCCTGAAAAGACTAAATGACTTAATTGATCTAAAAGAGGAAGGGAGATTGTTCCAGTCGGAAGTAGCTTTGTATTGAAAGGACCTATGGCCACGGTTATGTTTGATGTTAGTGTCTTTTTCTTTGTGTATTTATTTTTCTCACCCTCCTCTCCGCTTTTTACTCCACTCTTAGGTTTCATTTCAGTTCACTGTGGTTATTCAACTTTGCTTGTTGAACTTCGTTGGCTCCAAGTAAAACTTTGACCATCTTGTAAGGTTTTGTTTCGATGAATTGTTGTTAGATTAGATTGAGTGTTTTGCCACCTGTGTAATTTTGAGTTTTGTAGTTTAATTAGTTCAGTTTGGGTGTCGTGTGCACAGAAGATCTCGGCTTTTATTTTCATTATTACTTTTTTGGCGCCTAGTTTAGACTTTAGATTTAAGGAATGTTTTGTTTTGTTAAATTCTTTGATTTGGCATTCACTCAGTGTTTTTGTTTAAAGAGAATAATTGTAAAAGTTTATTTTTTCCATTTGTTATTGTTACATATTGTTTAAACTATTGAGTAAAAAAATAGCTTAAATAGAGAATAGATTTCGGCCTCATCCTTGATCTGTCACACACATTACACCTGTCTCACCTAAACGTTTTCAATTGTTGCAATTCTGGGAACAAACAAATAAATCTGTAGCAAATGGCGAAGCAAATATGAGGAGGTAAATGGAACAAAAAACTGTTTTAAATAAGAGGAGAAACTAAAATAAACACATTTAAAAAGAAACAAATGCCATGGATACTTGTTGCGTCCCAATCCGCATACTATGCGTCCTAAATAGTATTTGAAAATAGAATTAGTATGTCCCAAACCATAGTATGTTGAAAAGAGTATGCCAGAGGCTCCCGGATGGTTTGCTATACTTTAAAATTTAAGTGTTGAACCGTCCATACTCTAAATCGCTGATATTGCTCACAATACACTGCGCCTTGGACGTAAATTCGATCAGAACTACAAACGCGTGTGAAAAGTGTAAATAAACTACAAACATAATGGATGAGCAAGACCAACAGTCAAGTAGAGAGGCTTTGGTAAAGATGTTTAATTGACTGTTAGTCAATATCTAGGCCACTGGAAAATATTTAAATCGCATTATCTGTGTTATATTTCATCTGCAACAACAAGACTGAACTTATATAAAGATGCGTTTGGACGTCAAAACGTCTGAATGCATAATTACCCAAAGACCTAAGGAGATTTCGCTGCATGAAAGACTCGTGAATGAGAGATTAACCTGCTGCTGCTTCTCCAATAAGGTAGGAAATTAAATACAACATGTGTGGATGATTGACAGGGCTCATAACTAAGCAACACAATGATCTGTTAAAGAGGAAGTAGCATGTCCCAAAGCTTGCATACTCTTCTGTTGCACACTCAAAAGTATATGTTTCCTTCACAAAAAAAGTACATACTTTTAGGGCGTAGTATAAGTATGTGAATTGGAAACTTAGGTTGAAGCAAACCAAGAGTTTCATATAATATGCAATGATGAGTTCTGTAGGGACATCTTAAAACAAACCTACATAGAGATTTGAAGACAGTATTTAGAGATTTTGTATTGTGATAAATAATATCGGCACAATCAAAACTAGAGAAAATCAATTTAGAGATCTTTTTTTTTCTTACTTTAAATGAAAAACAATTAATAGTATGATAAAGAAAACTTAAGCAGCGATATGACTATTATAGCTAGTATTTTTATCATTGCTAGTTGTACTATTAATATATTATGATATACAGTAGTTCAAACCTTTTTTACAACAACTTTAACTAAATTAAACATTTTATTTAAAAAGTTGCATTCAAAAGTGACTGTAAAGGCTTTAATGCTATTTTTTAAATATTTAACAAATGTTGTTGCTTTGACATTTATATACATGTTAAAGAATCACGCACAATTAAAAAAAACATCCCAAAGAAAGAACATCTACATTTCTGCAGTCAGAAATTATATTTTTAATTTTTTACCTTCAGGTCGTATTTTCGGTGGACGAGGAGTCTGTGGCTGAACATGTTCCTCATGACAATCAGGTACGTGTCTTCGCTCTCCACCGTAATGCGGTACATGCCCAGAAACTGAGGGAGGAGTGTGCTGCCATGACACTTCACTATATGCTGAGGAGTACACAAGACACAACAAATTATATATTCACATCGTTTAGGAACAACAAATGAAACAAATTATGGGTGATCGAAGATACATTTGGGGCCCTATCATACACCCGGCGCAATAAGGCCCAAGATATGTTTGGTGCTATGTGTTGCTATTTTCTGACCAGGGCAACCCTAATTTTTCTGTTTCCCGCCACGTTGTTTAAATAGCAAATCCATTTGCACCACTTTGTAGACTCATAAGTCTAGAAAACCAGTCTAGAAAAGAGGCATGTTAAGGCGCATTGTTGGCGTGTTGCTATTTTGAGGAACTAAAATAGACTGTGTAGCGACATTTTCATACCCTGGTCTAATGCGCCACCTGGCTTGAGAAACCCGTTCTCAAAGACCTATATTTAATCATTATTTGGGTAGCACACATATCCTAAACGCCTTCGGCAGAATTCAAATGAGCCATTTTAATCTAGATTAATTCTAAGATTACAGTGAGATTAATCTAGATTTTTTTTTTAATTATCTATGCCCACCTTTAATTATTATCAATATTATTATTATTATTATTAGTAGTAGTAGTAGTAGTAGTATTTAATTTATGCATATTTATTCATATTCATGAATCTCACCTAAAAAAATAAAATAAAAATGATTTCTTGTGGCCGGAATATATCAGTGTATTTTTTCCATCATGCAACTTTACTTTTGGTAGTTTTTCCACTTATTTTTTTATTTATAAAAGCCTTCAGTAAAAGCTAGTAATTTTGATATGATTACATCATATCATTGAGTACAAAAACTTTTCCAAAAATATGTGTATGTCAACTCTGTTACCATTACTGTACCTTGGGTTTAAACTGATAAATGTTTCTCCTACATGTATATGCAAGATACAATGACGTCACTTTTCCTTCACTGATAAGATCTGAAGGACTAAAAGCTAAGCGTGCTATTTTTGAGAAATATTTACATTCAAAAAGTACTTACACCAATATTAACTTAATAAAACGTCAAAACTGTTCTTTTCTTGTCTTTTAATCATGATTTTATTAGAGCCAAGAACTCATTTATGTCATCAAGTGGAGTTTTGGGCATAAACTTATATATGTTAATTAATCATGATAAACTCTGTCACTGAAAAGTAACTGAAAGTAAAATGGAGAATGTTTGACAAGCATATGTTTATTAAATGAAATGTTTTCAATAAAATAATGGATTTCTTTCAGATAATAGGCCTTTATTTCCTGAACCTTTTGAAATGCAAAATGTCTCTCTAATTATAGAATCACCCGTATGGTATTCGGGCAGCTAAACAAGCCCACAGGGTTAATAAATGACAATGTTGTTTTTCCATGTCCGCATCAGCGCACACCTGCACCAGTTAAACATGAGCGCACTGTGCATGAATATAAGGGAAGAATCGTGCAGGAAGTATTTTGTTGTTATAGATATCAAGAAAAAGTGTTAGACCGACCCCCAGGGCAGCACAAATGCAGAAGCACAGCGTTGATTAAGATCTGCTCATTCAGCTGCAATGGAAAATGATATTAAAAAAGCTCACACATAATAGTGTCACAGCATTTGTGCTATTCTCACTTGTTTACGGTGAAAAGATTTTGACTGTCACTTATTTTTTTTTGTCAGTTTGTTCAGTTATAGATTGTTATAGATGTTATTCATGGTTTCCCAGTACTGGGTTGCGGATGGAAGGGCATCCGCTGCACAAAAAAACATATGCTGGAAAAGTAGGCGGTTCATTTCACTGTGGCGACCTCTCATTACTCAGAGATTAAGCCGAAAAGAAATGAATTAATTCATTAATGTTGTTTATGCTATATTGTTTGTAGTTGTGTACGTTTCATATGTAGATACATTCATTTGTGTTGTCAAATTAGTTACTTATATGGTGTAAGAGGACTTTAAGTGTTTAAGTGGGGGTTAAGCGTTTATTTACATTTATATTTAAAAAACAATATATATATATATATATATATATAGCACTATTGTTTCATAAATAAAGTTAACTTTTTTTAAAGTTCGGGGTTAATATGTTTTTTAAGGCAAGATGTGCACTTGATTAATAAAAAAATATAGTAAGTTAATTTATCAATCAATCAATCAATCAATCAATCAATCAATCAATCAATCTCTATCTGTCTGTCTGTCTGTCTGTCTGTCTATCTATCTATCTATCCAATCATTTTCCTTGGCTTAGTTCCTTTATTCATCAGGCGTTGCAGAATGAACCGCCAACTTATTAAGCATATGCTTTACATGCAGCACGCAGGCGTTTGCCTTTTACATCGGCTGCATCTGCAGAAGGCAGCTCATTGGCGGCTGTTGAACAGATCAATCTATTACTTTTCATCTGCACCAAAGCCCGTGGCAGCTTCCTCCTATGCTGTTTCCTTAACCGGCAAAATATAACTCTTATTATTATCTTATTTCCTCTATATTTTGTGGACATTTCAGTCAACAGTTCTGTGAATATAACTAAAATGCAAATGAAAAGATAGTTTACCCAAAAATGAAAATTCACTTACTATTTACACACTTTCAAGTGGTTCTAAACCTCTAGAGAAGATATTTTGAAGAAAACTGAAAACCTGCAACCATATTTACTCTCCCTTCAGTGGCTATAAACCTTTGATTTTCTTTATTCTGTTGGACAAAAGAGAAGAAATTTTAAATATTGCTGAAAACCGGTAACCATTGACTTCTATAGAAGAAAAAAACAATACTATGGAAATCAATGGTTACAGGTTTCCAGCATTCTTCAATATATCTTCTTTTGTGTTCAACAGAGGGAAGAAAGTCAAACAGGTTTGAAACAAGAAAAGGGTGAGTAAATGATGACAGAATATTCTGTTATGGATGAACTACCCCTTTAAATAAGCATCAACAAAGCTCATTGTGGAACAAGAGAAGAGGAATTTACCTATTTTAAGGAAGTGCGGTGGAACATGAAAATGATGGAGCATGAAAATGTGTACAGAGGAAATAAACAACAGGGCGTGCAGGATCCCAGCTGGGTAATAAAACATTAAAAATAGCTGGAGCCTGAATTCTTTAGTCTGATCATATCGCCAACAAAGGCGCACTTGTGTAATGTGTGAACTATAATGATTTGCAATTCAATTCTAGTTGAAGTAGCTTGGCATACGACGTGCCTGTACTGTTTTGCAACCAGCTTTTTAGTTACTGAAGCTAAAGTTTAATAAAGAGGTCAGGGGCTCCTCGCAGTTTTGTTGACATGCTAGTTTCTTGTGGAGAAGTTATGCATTCATATAAACGGATGGACAGCAGTACATACAGACTAGAACACTTAAAGGGATAGTTTACCAAATAAAAAAAAAATAAAAAAGCTCTTCACACTCAAGAGTTTCTATGCTTTTATGAATTTCTTTAAGTTATTCCAGATGCGTTATTTTTGGTATTTAACTTCAGGAAATCGCTGAAGGCATATATCATGTTATCATAACAATATAATGTGGCAATAAGATCGTAACTGTACTGTGCATTTAAAGCGTGGCCATATTCATCTATGTTAACATACAAAAACAGCATTAACATTATAGCAGACACTGTAAAATGCCCATTCCCAGCCATCAGACTTTTCTGACATGGTATTCGAGTGTCATCGAGTGTCAGAATGTTGTTGGACTGCTACACAAGAGCTGTTATTTGGGATTATAGATAGCAAAATTTTGCGTTTTTTATTTTAGCGTTGTTTTTTAAAAGCATGACAGTAAAAGATGAACACGGTTATGAATTTATTCAAAAATTTGCTTGATTGTTGTAAAAATTTGTAACAATGACAAATAAATACTAATTTGTGCATCTCCTGACTTCGGTGTGCAGCCATGCTGCTGTTGTAGATGATGTGTTCTGGAATTTTCATACCCCTTGGTTTTAAGTGTGGTCCTGAAAAATCACCAAATCTTTCAAGGGCTATCTTGCATCTCCCCTTAGCCCTATGCCTTCAAGCTTAAGATAATTAGGACACCCCTACCCCTTCACATGAACTTCCAGGTAAGGGGAAGGGCTAAGGGGTATAATTGGGATTGGGCCTAAGTGTCTTCCAGGCCTCCAATCCGTATTTGCGAAATTAAAGAACATTGAAAAACCTGCCTCATGCTCATAAATATTTAATGAGCACAAGACACTCAACTATTGTTGTCATGATACTGGAATTCGGTACCAATCGATACTGAAATTTTTAAATAATCCATTTCCCGCCAGTGCTTAATTTGTGAATTGCGAGGCCCTGGAACAGTTTGAGGTAACGGATCCAGCATGTTACCCGAGGATGTAGAGATGTCTCGCATGCGGTGGGGGGTAGCAGGGTGTTGGATGGCGGAGGGGTGTCACAGACATAAGTTAAGAGCTGGGAGGGTTGATTGTTGCGGAAGAAATTGAAAGTAAACAGCGGACGCGGGAGGAGGGCGGTTGAGGAGGGGGATTGGTAAAATGAGGCACCGGATCAGATTTCAGAGGTGCCGAATCGGGAGTGTACCGGTACAAATTGCGCCCTGTTTCCCGCTAACATTTGAGCACTGTTGAGAGCGTTCTTAAATAGAATATATGTGCCATTGTGTTCACATGCTCAACAGAAATTACTTGGCCGTGAAGGTCATCAATTCACCGCAATCCCCACTGGTTATTGAGTGTAACCAGAGATACAGGGGCATCAGAGTGTTTTAAAGCTGTGAAGATCAGCTGGTTTGTCTATAAGCTGAGATTTGAGCAATCCACTGATGAATTGCGGCTTTAAAACACTCCAGTGTCCCTGTATCTCTGCTTACACTCAGTAAACAGCAGTGAGTTTGGTGAACTGATGACCTTCACGGCCAATCACAGTCATTTCTGTTGAGCATGTGAACACTATGGCAAATCAGCGCTGTTTAAGAATGTGCTCCACAGCGCTCAAATGTTAGCGGGAAATGGACGTTTTTTACATTAACTTAACTATCACACTTTCAGTATACAGCAGGTAGTTATTGTCAGTGTATGTTGGAATAATTGTTCATTAGGAACACCATCAGACTATAGAAATGTCGCTTTCCCCTTTAAGCATGAATGTCCTGAGCATGTTGCGAGTTACCTGGTGATACTCGGACAGAATGTTATGCATATCGGCTACTTCTTCACTGGAGATCTGCTTGACGATCAGCGTGCGGTCATAGGACGTGAAGAGAAGACCTTCCCCCTGTCCGTCGCCTTTCATAGGAGCACTGCGGGCCAGAGATGCCTGATGGGAAACACACATAGCAGATTTATTATACTGTACGCAAGAACAAAAGAAACCATTACATAGAAACTGTTACTGGTATACATTCTCATGCATATTTAGATCAAGTCCAAATATAAGCTGGTTTATCAATGGAAGCATTAGATCTGGTGATCTCACAAAATGTTTTGCATTTTAAAGGGGACCTATTATGCAAAAATCACTTTTATAAGGGGTTTAAACACAGTTGTGTGGCAACAGTGTGTGAATATAACCAGCCTCTAATAGTAAAAAATTATTGATTTAGTTTTTTTTATAATTAGACTTAATAAAAACAGTCTGCAGAAACACTTTAATTAATATTCTGCCTTTGTACATGTCATTAGAGGGTGAAAGCTCCGCCCCATCCGTGACAATTTCACCCTTGTTAGCATAAACAGTCCTAAGTGAGAATCAGCCATTCACCATTAGAGTTTTTGTGCCATACCTGTTAAAGATAATGTCACGACTAAGAGGCATTTAAAATGTAGAGCTTTAGGCCCTGTTTACACTAGTGCATTTTAGTTTTGAAACAGCGTTTTAGATCAAAAACGATCCGCGTCCACACTACAGTTTCACCTAGTGTCTCTGGATAAATCTCTGTCCACACTACTCCACCAAAAACGTACATCACGTGACCATTCGCGCACTCTGGGCATGCGCGTTCTAGTATAAACAGAAAGCATGCGTCTCGCTCGGCATTTGGTTATTGTTAGTCAACAAACGCCGGTTGAACATTAAACGCAATGGCAAAGAAAGCAAGAGAGGTATTTTTGTGGACAGACAACAAGGTCGAGTTGTTACTAAACGTAACAAATTAATAACTGCACAATGGCGCCAAAAACAGGCAATAGTGCAAACAACGCTCCCATTTCTGTGCCAATGTTGTTATTTATAGTACTGTCTTCCGGTAGCGTTATAGCCATGTGTTATAGTCATGTGATAGGGACTTGACGAATAAGAAAAGGATACGCTATGACACAAAAGCCCTAGTTAGGTAGCGAATCTCAGCCGCCCCGCCTCCGTTTTCAGATGTCTCCGTTTTTCCTCAGCCACACTGAAACGGAGCAGCAGCGTTTTAGAATGAAAACAGCCTCTCCAGCGTTTGTGGTGTAGTGTGGACAGATGGCGTAACCGTAGCAAAACTTATGCGTTTTAAAACCTTAGGGTGCACAAACAAATACTATAGTCTCAATAGACTGCCATTTTTTGAGCCACTTCTATTGACATATTTAGTTGACTGCCACAGTGCTGATGCATAGGCGTTTGTAGCTCCGCCCACTTTTCAAAAGAGCACAATCTCATTTGAATTTAAAGCAAGTCAACAAAATGGCACAATTTGGCTTAAAGCCTAAAAGGGTCAGAGTTATAAAGCATTATTTGTGAGATATTTTGAGGTGACACTTTATATACACACTCCAAGCTTATCAGGGACAAGGGGCATAATAGGTCCCCTTTAAATAATAATAAACAAAAGTCACCTGGTAGTCAAGATCTTCAATTCCAAATCGCTCCCTGAGGTTTCTGAAAACTTGTGGACAATACTCCTTGAACTTAAAATGGCTTGGAAGATTCTCCCTGTAAGACACAGAAGGGTCGTTTCAAAAATCATACTTGCATGTAACACACTCCATTTCTTATAGTGGTGTAACAGATCACACGTCTCACGGTTCAGATCACACTACGGTTTTTGAGTCACAGATCAGACCATTTTTCAGCAAAAAAGGGAGACGACAAACATCATTTGCTTTCCTTTTATACAAAAATATCACAGCAAAAAACATTGGTTTAAACAAACATAACTTAGAACCTGTCATTTAAATTTTAAAAAAATTAAGAAAGAACTAGTTGGAAAAAAAAAAGGAAAATATTTAATACGAAAATGATCTCTGCTACTGTTGCTGATAATACTAAATTTAGAAATCTAACATCTTTAACAGCATATCATATTTATTTTCAATTAATGATTCAACAATTCAAATAAAACCATGTTTCATTAAAGTTGGATCATTTTTGAAAAAATATTCAGTGACATTATTTATGGCTGTTTGTCCCCACCAATTGGTTACACAATGTAATTGCTTACACCACTGTCAAACATTTACCAGCGTCAAGTTCCATTAAACAGTGATTTTAATTTTAACCTTTACCATAAACATCAGTGTTCATATCTGAACTATAAACTGTTTTCCCAGTACTGCTGTGTTATTTAATTGTTTGTAACTAAAAGAAAAAAGTGTGAAAACTAAATCTCTCTCGATCAAACACTGATTTGAATGCAGCGCTTCGAAGGATTAATAAACACATGCAAATCATTATTTGATCATTCATGTTGCGCAGATCTGAATTGAGATCCTGATCTTTTAATGTTTAAAATGAATTAAAACAGGCTAAACAAACAGTAATGTAATGTATTTTTTATTTACTGCCATGTCAGCAACCAAGGCTATTTTCATAGCAAGAACATTTCAATAATAAAAAAAAAACAATTAATAACAACAAACAAATGAATACACAAGTTAAATAAGATATTTTGTATTAATACATTATAAGAATTCTGAAATCGCTTCTGGTGTCACGATCCTCCAAATCCTCGATTCGATTACATTTTCGATTCTAAAGTCACGATTCGCTTTTCGATTATGAATAATTTATTAATTAACAACGAATTAATTATTTGTAGCCTACCGTTTAAACTACCTGACTTGCATGGTCTTTGTTTTACCCATAAACAAATCATACAGTAAATGAATAAAGGTAAGTTACACACATAATTACCACCTGTCAATCACTTTTTTCTGTGGGACTCGTGAATAGGCAGTGATCTGTGTCGTTATAATGGCGTCGGTAAAAAAGGTGCACAACCAACAGGAACCAGCCAACAGTATCTGAGGTGTTTGCTAAAATGACTAAGTACTTGTGTGAAAGTAAAAGATGTAAGCAGTCTACTGACTCGCTGACTGCCTTGACCCGCTGTCTCGAGCGCATGACAATGTGTGTGCGTCTGTGTCTGGTCACGTGATGTGCGTTTTCAGCGGTAGTGAGGAAGGAGGGCTGCTTAGAAATGCTACACGCCAGTGTGGATGTGGATCGTTGTCGTTCTAAAATGCCATTTAAAAACAAAGACATATTAGTGTAAACAGGGCCTGAGTGTGTATTTTTCACGAGCGGATTTGCAACGGGTGCGGGGCGGAGGATCGCGATGCGCCCATCGTCTATCATCCCAACCGTAATACGTACATAGCAGAGCTTGCAAACTGTTTTTTTTGTCAACAACACGAACGTTGTCAACATAACTAACTGGAAATCAAAAACACTTCCACACCGGCGACTTCATTGAAAGAGGAGAGGGTTTAAGTTCTGTCGACGGGTCTCCTGCGTCTGCAGTTTAACAAGCACTTCAACAAGCCAGTTTTTTTCCCGCTTGGCAAGCCAAGCTAACGTAACATGGGGGCGTGGCAGCATCAACGATTCTATTTTTTGATTCGATAATTGAAGTTGAGCATAAATTTCGATCGATTTCGATTAAAAATTGAAATCGTGACACCCTTATCCTTAAGAGAGTTTATTTCATAAAAAAGTCTTCTGGAATCATTAAAAGCAGGACAGTCAAGTAAAATGTGTTTTTGAACAAACATTGTGAACAAACATTGAGTGGGGTCTTCATCTTTAAGTAAAAAGGCGTGGGTTAATCTTGTATGTCCAATATGACATCTGGTAAAAATTACATGATCAAATCCTGTCTTAAAATGTCTTGAAATCCAACCTGAAATCTCACACTGAATGTTATGTAATTTATTATTTTCCAATGCATCCCACTCCTCTCATCACATATTTAAAATGTAAACGTTGATAAAAAGGTCTCATCTCTGAAGGAGGAATTTGACATTGGTTGACCCCTTGCTTCAAAGCGTATTTAGCAGCTGCATCAGCTCGCACAAAATCCTGAAAGCCCAACATGTCCTGGAACCCAGCAAAAATGATGTGATAAAACTGATTTTGTAGATGGTGAACTTTGGTTAAAATACTATCAATCAAAAGGTGATGTTTTTTGTAGATTCCATCACTTGGAGGCATGATTTGGAGTCTGTAAAACTAATAAGAGTTCTTTTGTTGGACATTTTCTATATACTCCAATGCTAAAAGTAAAGCACAGGCCTCAGCTGTGAATATGGAGCATTCATTATGCAGATTGACTACATAACTTTGTTGTCCAGTCAGCTAAACAAACAGTGACAGGAAACACCTTTAATTAATAGCCTAAGAAAGCATTTAGGCAGATCCCACCACAACTTTATCCATCATCATTATATTTTACAGAGAAACCAAAATGCATTTATACACACAGGGCTCGAAATTAACTTTTTTACTTGGTAGCACCGGAGCTCCCAACTTCAAATATTTAGGAGCACCAAAACAATTTTAGGAGCACCAGAAAAAATTTAGGAGCACCCACCAAAAATGAATGAGCACAGCTGCAAATTGTTTTTTAAGGGATTTATTGTATTTTAAAACAACATTAATAGGACTGACAAAAACCAGAAACAACTATCTAACTAATGCTGCGAAAACATTGATATTTGTGTGCAATAATTCCAAAATGAATGTCTAATAATTAGGCCATAGAATATTAGTGATGATAAAAAATGACAATAATAGTAACAATGAATTCCATTTCTCATTATGATACTGCCTTGAATGTGCATGAATGTAGATTTACTGCTATAAAAAGTCTGTTACTTTATGAAAAATAATTGTGTAGTTTGCATCAAACAAAAATAAAGCATTGCAATAAGAAATATTTATTTTGTGCTGCTGTTTTTATATGCATGTCAATTTAATAAATAATATTTCTGCTACAAAACAAACAAAAGATTATAATAAATCATTCAATTCAATGATGAAAGCTGCAAAGCAGTCATCATAAATAAAAAAATAATAATATACACCTCAAAAAAGAATAGACAAAAGAAAGTAAGTAAAGTCTCACTTCTATCACTCTTTAAAAGTTTTGGTTTCAGTTTGTGTCAATTTAAAGGTTCAGTCTGAGATGATCTTCATGTTTCTGTGTTAGTGGAAAAGCAGGCGAGTCAGCCGACCCAATATATGAGCAAGTTGAGCAGGATTCTTGCGCTGACCACCGGCCCAATACCGGTCTTTGTTATGAGCCGCAGTTTCAGTGTAAACTTAGTAAAGGCGAGCTTCTTTGGCGATGATATGTACAGTATTAGATTTGACTTTTAGCGGACATTTGCGCTGAACACGCAGTAAACGCAACGCATCGAGGTTCGGGCGCCTTCTCCAAGAAGCGCGTACTCGATTGATCTCAGCTGGCGGATCATTATTCACCACGTGACGTGTCATGATCGCTCTCATCTGCGCCTCAACTTTAGGTGGGGTTTGCAAACCTGTGTGCTTTAAGTTTTTACTCTTCAGCCGTTTGCATTTCCCGTGGTCATAAAAGCTCCTTCCCTGTCATCTGACAGCGGAATACCGTGAGTGATTGACAGCTAATATGAACCAATATAGCGGCAGGGAAGAGCGATTCAGCACGTTTTTACAAAAAATCAAAACAGGTCGCACTACAACCATTATCTGCACTCGCACTAATGCGCCCAAATATATTATGAGGTCGCATAGATTAATTTTAGGGCTATGGATTTTTTGGCCGATATCGATAACTCTACAGACTTAGAGGCCGATAGGGCGACAGTAGTGCGGAGGAGCTATGTTGGCTATGTATGTATATGTTGGCTAACTATGTATACCTTGTAGGCGAATCAGCTGCTAAAATCTATTGATCACTTTAAAATGACAGTTAACATGCATGTATTTTTACACATTTATTTACACGTTTGCATTACTAAGAGCAGGAAAGAGAAAGGGTGCACTGGTAATCTTCATAATATCATTTAATTAAAATAAATGATCAACAAATTAATCTATCTTGACAGTCTTTACATGTGAAGGGATTATCTACACACAATATGAATTACCGATTAAAAAAAAATACTATACAAATTATAAAATACTATTGATAAAAATACTTAAATAACAGCCAAATCCAAATGCCCAACATAAGCGAGCTGCGCTCCAGACCAGTTCAGCACGATGACGTATAATGTATCCGACACCGCCTGTAGTCCAATTTAGCAACTTGATAGCAACCGTCTTTTTAAAGAAGCATAACCGATTTTAAAAATCAAGAGTGTGCTGTAACTGATGTGTTTTATGTCGTAGAATAAAACATGAAAGTATCTTGAGTTTGTGTTAGCCACAAACCTTATTTAAGCGATTTTACTGAAATCCCATTGAAAAAACCCATTGACTTTGGGACGAGGGAACCGGAACTGCTAAAATGCTAACTCGCTTCCAGGCTTTTGCATACAAATTGACATCATAGTTCCTCCACTCCATTAAATAATTCAAAATGTTATATTTTTATACACTAAACTTCATAAAAGATTGAACTGCTCTTATGAACTTAATAATCTATACTCAATGCAAAAAAGCTATAATTTCAAAATTGCAAGGTGATTACGTAGACCTATATTCACAATTTCATATAAATCAGCATGCAAAAAAAAAAATTGTCATTTCCTTTTCTTCATAGCAAATTAACATGCAACTTGACTGTTGCATAAAAATAATAGGTTAAATAAAAAAAATGGGATTTAATCAACAAGCAAGTTAAAAATATTTTAATTAAAACGAAAACGAAAGAGCTAAGGACTGAAACCAGCTCAAATGTTCTTGAATAAAACGTGTTACAGTGATGTACACATGTACAAATATGTCGTGTCCAAAAAAAAAACTTTTGTAGAGGTGTTTTGACAGTTCTGAGCCACTGTACAAGCGAAAAGCTAAACACAGATTGTATTACTTTAGAAAATGCAGCATAGATTCATCCTGTTTGGCGTTTTAGATTCTTTTGAACACATGTAGCTGCAGCTTGTCAATCAGACAACGCTTCTGTGTTCATTCTTGCTGTCAATTGCAGGAAAAATGATCAATGAAAATGAAAAGCTTCACTCAACTGCGAGCACAGACACATTCAGTGCATAATATAAAGACAATGTCCGGCGAGTTGAGAGCCCCTATGCTGGATTCAGTGACTGACGCAGCTCTCCCTCGTGCTGCTGTGAAGGCTGTCAGATCAGTGTTTGTGTGTGTGCGGTAACAGCTCTCACGTGGGCTTACTACAATCAAGATTCCGATCAAACTGAATACAATCTTACATCAACAACATATGCCAAGCAACGCGTTTATAATAACAAATAATCATATTAGATTACAAACAACAAAACAAGTTGTTTAGCATGTGTGCATCGCTGCTATTATGTTTACACATGTAATATTTTTTCCTGAGGCGATTTAAAGCAAAATACACAATGGCACTCAATCAAACATTTCTACAATGATAAGGAACATGGTTACTTACTGAGTTATTAACGCACAGCAATGACACATGAAGAAAGGACGGACTTTGAGTTCCGCCCATGCATGCGCGAGGCAGGCAGTCTTGGTCAATTACGTAATTTATCGGCTTAAAGATATCGGCCTAATTTATACATCAGATCGATAACAATAATCTTAAAAATAGCATTTATCGGCCGATAACGATATGGCCGCCAATATATAGTGCATACCTAGTAATTACAATAACCCATCTAAACAAATTTAAGCATGTTCCTACAGGTTTCATCAAGTCAAATTTAAGAACTTTTAAGATCTTTTATAGACCATTTTAAGACAATAATGAATGAAATTTCAGACTTACACAAGGCTAAACGCTAAAGATTTTTTTAATTGCCAAGGAAAAACAAAACAAATATATAGAGTTAATAAATAAACGCTTTTTAAAATGTGATTGGGTGGTTGTTGGCCCAACTGGGTATAGCTTTACATGGACAGGAAAACTAAGACACGTTTAAAATTATTAAAGCCTACAACACAATATTTCAGTGGATTTAAGACTTCTTAAGGGCTAAAATTTGAAATTTAAGACATGTTAAGACCCTCCAGATACCCTGTACTTATAAGATCGCTTTTTGAGGAAAATGTGTGTAAAAAAATGATGAGCTTTTGATAAATACTTGTTGAAGAGGTGGTTGTTCACTTTAATTTTGGTGTTGGCTTTGAAGTCGTCAGGGAGCAGCATGACAGGCACTGGAACTTGATTTAAATCATTGATCTGCAAAAACAGAGAGGGGACCAAAAAAATGCAGGTTTTTAATGTAGGAAATGACCTTTGTACATGCAGGTTTTCCATATCCTAACACTGAATGACTTGATTGTTTTCGACCTTTTCTAACACATCTCATTTGGCGAAGATATCCCAGTCTTCTCATTGTGCAATGGCAAATGCTCCATAAAACAAACTTCTACCTAAAGGCAGTTTATTCCCTCAGGATCTCAAAACAGTCTAACTGTGGTCATATGGATCGACTGCATAAGCTAGTGTATTTGTACTAAACTGGTACATTTGGATTTAAAAAATGTGCATAGAAAAGAAATATATGTACTTTTTTAACATGTTGATCAATGTAAAAAAGGGGATTTCAAGCACTAAGAAAATAAATGTATGCTAATTACATTGCATCCATTAAATTTACACTGTTTCCAAGCAAATGATGATGACTAATTGGAAATGATTTATTTAAAAAAAATGTCTGGGAATTAATTTTTTAAAGAACAATAATTTATTTTAAATATATTATAATATCTAAGGGTCAGTACGGTTTATCATTTTAAAATGTATTTTTGTCATACATCCATACAAGCATAAATGTGTCTTTTTTTTATGATGACGAAACATTTTTTGCATATAATAATGTTTATATTAAAGCTGACAATGTACTTGAATTTAACATACTTTCTATTAGGGCTAGGCCCATAAACGATATTATATCGAATCGCAATAAAATGTTTGTCAATAACAAGGATAAGCTCTGGACTTTTTTTTACTCTATATTGATCTTAGAGCCAATAACACAGCAGAGATGTGCAACAATAGGAATCTAAAAGTGTGTTGATATTAGAGATGTACTAAATTTTCGGACGCCAAAAATTCATTCATTCGTTCGTTTGTTCATTCATTCATTCATTTTCTTTTTGGCTTAGTCAATTTATTAATCTGGGATTGCCAACTTATCCAACATATGTTTCACGCAGCGCATGCCCTTACAACTGCAACCCATCACTGGAAGACATCCAAACACACTCATTCACTACGGTCAATTTAGCTTACCCAAAAATCTGTGTCCTGAAACACCCCCCTCTCCTGCTTTCACTTCTAATGGGAGCGATTCGTTTGTGAACGAATATCCGCTTTGAATGACTCGTGTAAAGCATCAATATCTCTGTGTCTCAATGTGTATATCCATCTTTCTGATCTAAATGGTATATAACATTTGTAATATTCAATAATTTAGGGTGGACAGTTTGCACATTGAGGCACAGGCACTGTTATGTTATTAGACACCCGTATAAGTTACTTCAAAAACTAGCCGTTACTTCACTTAACCTACAATAATAATGTTTCTGGCACCGCTACGTCTTGTAATCATATTTAATTTACATCGTTTGGTGATTTTATTCAACAAAACTAGGATAAGCCTAGTATTTAGCGCGAGTTGGTGCTACTTCGCCTTATGGTCAGTGCAGTAAGTGACTGTATTATCATCAATAATGTTACTTGTCAAGCACAAAAAAACGTAAAAAATTAAATCTTACCTATTAAATATTACGCCTTTATCCTTTGTTTTCGGTTCCCTTGTTACTACACCCGTACGCAGCGCAAAAGTCCAGTATCTTCAAATTGGCTCTAGTCTTGACTAGTGCAGTTGAATGACTTTTGTCCTGGGAGCACTGTACAAATATGGCTGCAGTATTGACGCATGCTCAGGGCGTGTATGTGATATCTAGTGTATACATCTATGAGCATGTGGTCATAATAAACATTTATTTACACATGTTTAGCCTATATATACACATTACTATATACATTATACTATTTACCATAACTATTATAGCTATACATACAATATTACATAAAATACTATACTGTAGACACATTTGTGAAAATTGTATATTGTTATTTTTTATTTCTTCATTATCAGTGTTTTTATACTATCACTGTCATTTTGTTGCACTTGTAACTTCTGTCACGAAAACAAAACAAATTCATCTCGTGTCAACAACATACATGTCAATAAACCTCTTTCTGTTTCTGATATACACATACATCCATGAAGTTTGTTAATAGTTGTTATTATTGTCGTTTCGAACCAAAATAAATGCTAATTAGCATAAGATTAAACAATACTAAAGCTAACATGATGCAACAGATTCAGTCTGATTCGCTCACGAATCGGTGAGAACGTTGTAGCGAACCAAATTTTTATTAAAGATCCGATTCAAAAGAATGATTCGTTCACAAATCGGACATCGCTAGCAACAGTTGCAAATCCGCCGCGTGCAAAGAAATCATGTTTGTTTTGCGCGTGACCTCAGGTGCCAATTCCCAAATCAATAACACAACGCACAATTCATGTGATATATTAATATTACCACAAATATTTCATTTAAGTGTCTCCAAAGCCACATATGCGTGCTTGCAGCTAACAGTTAGCTCAAAAATGGCAGTTGTGTTTATGTAGGAAGTTCTGTGAATCGTATGCCAGCTTACCGAATGATTTACGCCCCACATGAACACGCTGAGCATCGGGTCGCTCGCCCGGAACACCTTCACCTTTTGCTGCATGAAATGTCTCTTTTTAGTCTTGGTTTTGGGAGCGAGCATGACCATCGGGCTGGAGGCGCTGCCGGAGTTACCGAGAGACGCCATCATCACGGGTCACTCCCCTGTAGCGCAGCGGTCTGTTTTCCTCGCGGATCCGCCTCCCTCTGTTCCTGCTCCGGGTCCTCTAACTGACAATCAAAGGTCGAGAGAAAACACGAGCCACGAGGGCCTGTTTTCCGCTGTGCTCGCACTCACAGGCCCAGATGAAGCGATTCTTCATGGAAGTGAACAACACTGGGTCGCTGAAGTGTGTGGCGGTGATCCAGACGCTCCTCCCACAAGTTTAGAGGGACAGATCATCATAGATTGTGACAGCAAGAATGTGTGTCAGGCTCTCTCACCTGAATGTACGTCATCTGCTTTCTGAACGTACAGGTGAAACCAGACAATCAAAAAGAAGAAGCATATATACATATCTTAAAGGGATAGTTCACCCAAAAAAGGGGAAGAAGCTTATAATAACATAAAGGGATAGTTCACTCAAAAGAAGAAGAATCATACACATAGCTTAAAAGGATAGTTCACCCAAAATAACAAGACTGAAGCTTAAATGCATAAATTATAACAATAGTTCCCCCAAAAGAACATAATTGAAGATAAAATACATAACTTAAAGGTGTAGTTCACCCAAAAGAAAAATTGTATATGTATAGTTTACCTAAAAGAACAGAAATGACGCTTAAATACATAACTTAAAGGGATAGTTTACCTAAAAGAACAAGAATGAAGTTTAAATAACTTAAAAGGACAGTTCACCCAGAAGAACAAGAATGAAGCTTATATACATACCCTAAAGGGATTCTCCCAAATAAACAAGAGTGAAGCCTAAATACGTAACTTAAAGGGACAGTTTACCCAAAAGAACAAGAATGTAGCTTAAACAGGTAACTTAAAGGGACAGTTCACCCAAAAGAACAAGAATAAAGCTTATATACATAACTTAAAGCAATATAGTTCACCCAAAAGAATAAGAGTGAAGCTTAAATTTATATCTTACAGAGACAGTTCACCCAAAAAAACAATTATGAAGCTTAAATTCATATCTTAAAGGGACAGTTTACCCAAAAGAACAAGAATAAAGCTTATATTCATAACTTACAGAGATGGTTTACCCAAATGAACAAGAATGAAGCTTAAACACATAATTTAAAGGGACAGTTCACCCAAAAGAACAAAAATTAAGCTTAAATGCATAACTTAAAGCAATATAGTTCACCCAAAAGAACAAGAGTAAAGCTTAAATTCATATCTTAAAGCAGGGGTCACCAAACTTGTTCCTGGAGGGCCGGTGTCCAGCAGATTTTAGCTCCAACCCTAATTAAACACACCTGATCAAGCTAATCGGTCTTACTAGGTATACTTGAAACACCCAAGCAGGTGTGTTGAGGCAAGTTGAAGCAAAACCCTGAAGGGACACCGGCCCTCCAGGGCCGAGATTGGTGACCCCTGTGTTAAAGGGACAGTTCTCCCAAAAGAACAAGAATGAAGCTTATATACATAACTTAAAGCGATATAGTTGACTCAAAAGTACAAGAATGAAGCTTAAATTCATATCTTAAAGAGACAGTTCACCCAAAAAAAAACAAGTATGAAGCTTATTCATAACTTACAGAGATGGTTTACCCAAATGAACAAGAATAAAGCTTAAACACATAATTTAAAGGGACAGTTCACCCAAAAGAACAAGAATTACGCTTAAATACATAACTTAAAGGGACAGCTTACCCAAAAGAACAAGGATGAAGCATATTCATAACTTAAAGGTATAGTTCACCCAAAAATGACAATTCGGTCATTATTAGCTGGGGAGGTCTAAACACTCACTATTGATTTTTGGTTAAACCAGTGTTGAATTTAAGGGAGAAAAACTTTTAAAATGTTTTAACAAAATAAGTTTTTTCAAAAACGTTTGTTTTAAAAAACTAAGTTGGATGAACAAAAGATTGAAAAAAGTAGACTAGGATTTTTGTTTTAACAGATATGTTTGTGTAACCCACCGGTCCTACTGCACCCAACCCATGCTGAGCTGGGATGATTCTTTGCATGAGAGTCAGTTGCTTTAACAAAGAGGCAAAAGACCATGGCCTCCTTGTCTGTGGCCAGAGCATCTTTAGAGGTTACCTTTAGCTCTATAGCACTTCGCTAGCTGGCCTCTGTTGTATTTGTATACTAGTGTGTTTGATTGGGGTTGGAACTAAACTTTGCAGGACACCGGCCCTCCAGGACAGAGTTTGGACACCCCTGCACTAGAGGGTGAGTATGGTGATCTGGTGTCTCTTTAACCATGAAAATAATAAGAGGCCAGGGAGGGGCCACATTTGAACATTACTCTTATTCTTTATTCAAGATTATTTCTGAACATTTTCTACACCATTCCTTCATTGTCTGACTGGTTATATCACTCTGCAATCTCAGGAAATAAGCTAATAAAATAAATATTATCATTTAAAAATTCATATGAAACACATTTTTGTAAAAATGTAGATTTTTTTACTAGTTTAAATGGATAGTTCACCCCCAAAAATGTACTCACTATTTATTATCTGTATCGGGGTGGCACAGTGGGTAGTGTCGCCTCACAGCAAGATGGTCGCTGGTTCAAGGCTCATCTAGTTCAACTGGCATTTCTGTGTGGAGCTTGCATGTTCTCCCCGTGTTGGCGTGGGTTTCCTCCAGGTGCTCTGGTTTCCCCCACAAGTCCAAACACATGCACTGAATGAACGAACGAATGAATGAATGAATGATACTCTCTGCATGCACTCAAATGTTTCTAAACCGTTATAAGTTTCTTTCTTCTGTTGAACACTAAAGACAATATTGTCAACCCATTGCATGTTTGTGTACTGTAAAAGTTGTAATATTATTGTAAAAATACATAAACCTTTATTCTGTCATGCACAGTGATGTAAAGTAGCTAATTACAAATACTCCAGTTACTTTAATTGAGTAGTTTTTCTCAGGAATTGTAATTTACTAAGTCGTTTGAAAAATACTTTTAATTTCCTTTGAGAATATTTTTAGGGCTGTATTAGTACGTTTACTCCACTACTTTCCTTCAATCCGCAGTCTCTACCTTATTTTTTCTTGTCTATGAGGATTAGAAAAATCAGTCCTGTGATTCCCGACCAATCAAATCACTCATAGAAAGTAAATCGCATCATAATGAACAACTTCAAGACATGGGCGATTTATAGTTGCAGAAAACTATTTGGAAGCATTAAAAGTGTCCAAGAAGATGTCCAAAACCTTTAAACGCATTGATCCAGAGACTGTTTAGATCAGGGGTGGGTAAACTCGGTCCTGAAGGGCCGGTGTCCTGCACAGTTTAACTCCAACTCTAATCAAACACACCTGCTTATAGATTTCTAGTGATCTTGAAGACACTGCATGTTCAGGTGTTTTTGATTAGAGTTGGAGCTAAACTATGCAGGACACCGGCCCTCCAGGACTGAGTTTGCCCACCCCTGGTTTAGATGCTTATAACGGATGAGAAGATGACGGATGTTTATTGTATAAGGACTGAATCGGCCTTAAACACCCAGCAGGCACAAGATGTCAACATGACGTCAGATTGATGTTGTAGCCCAATGTCGTGGGGACCAACCAAATATTAACGTCTAATGATGTTACAGCAAGACGTTGTGTGGATGGTACCACTATGATGTTTATCAGACGTTGGATTTTGGTTGCCGTACCTGATGAATAACTGTCGGTATTTAATGTCAATATTATTTTGGTTAAGGATGTTGACTCGATGTTGAATATTGGTATTTTCTAACAACATAAAAACAACCAAATATTAACGTCCTTTGACTTCATTATTGGACACCAAAATAATGTTGTCCTTAGACGCTAGACATTGAATTTTGGTCACCTGACATCACAACCTAAATCTAATCTAATATTAACATCTTATGACATTGTGTGCCTGCTGAGCAATAATGCACTACAGAACGTTTACACACATCCACAAATTACATGTAAATGCATCAGCGTTATACAGCGTAATACTCTTGAGTACGTTTAAAAGGGCTACTTTTTACTCATACTTTGAGTAATATTCACAACAGATTCTTTTACTCTACTTGCACTACATTTTAGACAAGTAATGGTACTTTTACTTGAGTATGCGTTTTCAATACTCTTTTCACCAACGGCCATGCAGTTTAAACTAAAGCACAGGAAGCACAGAAGATGCCTCCTGGTTTGTGCACGCATGTTGTGTTGTGTTGCCATGACCACTTATTATGTATCTGTGGGCTTGTTTAGGCTTGGCTCATAAATCAATCAAGTTATTAGGGTTGTACTATTTTCTTCATAAAGTATTTTGATTTATTACGATTCAGAGGCATAAAATGTAAGATTTTTTCATTAAAGCAACCAAAAAACATGATATAGTTTCAAACAGTTGCAATTATTTGCAGTTATTAAACCCCCTGAATTATTAGCCTCCCTGTTTATTTTTTCCCTAATTTTTGTTTAATGGAGAGAAGATTTTTTTCAGCATATTTCTAAACATAATAGTTTTAATAACTCATGTTACCTCCCTCGGATGTATTTATTATTATTATTGTTTATTTGTGTTTACTGCCCATTGGGAGTGGTTATGTTGTGTTTCTCTTTTGCTCTTCCAATGTGTCTCTCTGCCTGCTCACTATAGCTGATTGGGCCCAGGTGGTGCTCATCATTGGAGCGTGCTGCAGTAACGCGCTGCTACAAAAGAGCAGTGTGCCTCAACCCAAGGAGAGGTTCACTTCTCCCCTGCTCCAGACTTGTGGTTGTAGTTTGTGGGTATTGATCCTGTTGTATATAGAAAGAATTTTATTAAGCTATTGGGTTCAATTTAACATCTTTCTTTGAAGAAACTTGGTGTTTCTCTTGTGTTGTGGAAATTACAGGCAGTGTGTTTGCTTTCTTAGTTATATGATTTAAATATACTTTTTCTGTGTGGTATTTAAAAGGTAATTGTATTGTTTCTTTGTCTTGACATTTTGATTTACAAATTGAAGCTGTAGGGAGAGGGTGCCATTTTTTTTGTCCTTGTTTGACTGT